CCTGGGGTAACAGGTACAGATGTGAGTACACGGCACAAGCCTCAGTGCTTTGAAGAGCAACTAAAAATAGGAAACAGACCTGTGCGTAAAAGCAACAGATCGTAGGCAAAGATGATAGATGTGGTTTGTAAGTAAATGAGAAATAAAAGTTCTTTCCAATCAAAAACATAGATACTAACCTGGGGTAATACTAACAGGTACAGATGTGAGTACACGGCACAAACCTCAGTGCTTTGAAGAGCAACTAAAAATAGGAAACAGACCTGACCACCAAACAAGTTAGTAAGAGAAATAAAAGAAGAGAGATTAAGAAATAAATAAAACACTAAACAAACCTGTGCATAAAAGCAACAGATTGTAGGCAAAGATGATAGATGCGGTTTGTAAGTAAATGAGAAATAAACTAATAAAATGTAATCATAGTAAAAATCGTTAGGAGAATGAATCATACGTAATTTCTAAAAAAAAGACACTTACAGTTCTTTCCGATGAGCAAAGCGACCGAGTGGACAACAGATAATATATATAAAAGAGAGCTCATATGACAAAATGAAACAAATAAATAAAATCTCAGGTCACATACAACCTATTCCCAAAATAGAAAAATGACAAACCAATAACCGCAACTTTCCTTCTCTAACCAAACTCATCATGCCTTCTTTTGTATCTAAAATCTACACAATCTTCTTTCTTAATTTGATCTTCATTAACAACTTAACAACACTGTCACCGGAAGTCCTTGACTAATAAACCATACTACTGACAATCAGCCTAAACACTTAAGAGGAGATGTAAGATATCACAACACCAATGCCCTACCATCCTTTGCCCATTCCTGCTCTGATTCCATCTCACACAATGTGCCTGCCTGACTCTCCTGTTGTCAACCACATGTGTCAACCAGTACTTCCAGATCCCAGCTTCAATTGTCAGCATGAATTTCCAGGTCTTTGGGACAATAAAACCTTGGCCACCTCATTCAATTTGGTGAACCAACATGTTAATCCAAATTCCATTCAGCCAAATGAGTTTAAAGTGTCTTGCTGCATGTACAACAACTCCTCCAACCACTTCTCTGGAACCTCTTCATTTTATCAATCAAGCATACCACCTGCCTATCATTCATGAGAATTGGACCTCTGCCCTCTGCCTCTCCACCAATTCAACAGAGCTTTTGAATTGACACAGCCAATTTGGAATTTTAGCTGCAACACCTTGACAACAATCACCATGTTTCTCTCAATTCACACCCTCCTATCCCTCCAGCTCAACACACAATGGCCCCATCTCCATTTATATCCCCAAGCGCAATCACTAAGTCTACCTTGCAGGCATATGGCCTCAATGACAAATACCCCCTGAACGCTCTGTTCCCTAAGGTCCTGCCCTTGCGTCTGGCAGTAGTGCTCAGCATCACCAGCCTACACCAAGCATGTACAATAGCCCTCTGCTTACCCAGATGCCATGAGTTTCCAATGAACTACATGATTTCTCTTTATCTAATTGCTTTGTCTTAGGCATGGCTATAGGCATATACAGCAACCACATCCTCAAACCCACTTCCACTCCTCAAATGCCCCACCCACAGCCTTGGGGTCTTTGTGGCACACCCAACCCTTGGAATCTTGTGTCAGCCATGAATCTCTCAACTCTGGCTTTGACATTGGTCTTTCCAGCCACCACAAGTTGGATCTAGTCAAACAGCTCTTCCAACAACACACAGATACCATGGAGGCAATCTTTTGAGAATTTCCAGATCTGGGGCAATTCCACCAGCCAACATTGTGCCATGATACATAGCAGCCATTTAATTGAAATTGGTGCAAGGGTGCTTGAAGTGTTTGGATCTGACAGATTCAGCCTTGCATGGCAATTTTGTGGGATTTGCACTGGGAAAAGGGTGAAAAAGCAACATCAATTCTGACTTGTTTCCTTCCTTTCCCTCTTAAATTTCCTCCATTGTCTGTAGAATGTGGTTCTCTCACCTCCGATCTTAGGGATCAAATCCAGTAATTCAAAAGTGAAGTTTTCATCTTGTTCAGCATGTATCGAACCACACTCATGATTCTCACATTCTCTCTTTGACTCGCTTTTTTATCTCCTTTGGCCACTCTTTACATTGGGTCATCACAGTTCTCTCACATTATGGTTTTTCTTGTTTCCACTATTGTTTATCTATGTACGGTAATGGTAGTGCAGTGTGTATATTTTTGGTGTCAGTCACTTGTTTTTTTGCTCTGTGCAAGTCAATTCATTTTGTTCTTGCTTGTCTGATGTGCTGATGCTTGGTGTGCACCTGAATCTGGCACCCCAGGGATGAGGGCAACATCCCTCAACTCTGTGGCTGTGGGGATGATGGAAATTTCTCTCATCTCTACGGCCTTGGGGATCAGGCAAAATTTCTCCTCTCCGCAGGCTTGGATCTACAAATGAGTCCAAGTGTCAGGGTGGCTATAACAATATAAAGTGAGCTGTCTAGATTACACTCACTTAGAAGACCTGACAAGAGTTCTTACTGGATCCGTAAGAGCTATATTGAGTTTTGATTCTATTAACAAAAATAGATTAAGAATATATGTTAATTATGGGTATGCTGATTAATTCTGATACGAAATTATGACCACGGCCCACTGTAAGTTTTACAGAAAAGAACTGGTCGATTCTGAACCGGGTGGTATATTTGAGAGGAAGACCCCAAGAATTGCCTGTGTTACTGGACACAGGGATACTGTCAACTCTATGTTGCAGTGCCAGAGGTATTTGACCAAGATAATAACTACCCTACGAGTAGGAGTAGTGTAGAAGCTTCAAGCTTTATCATACGAGGAGTTATTTGGCAGGGAGGATTCGAGAAAAACACTAGAAAAGGTGAGAGCGTCACTTACTAATTTCTCGTAGTTTTTAAGTGGAATCTGAATCGAATTGGTATTATTATAGGATTCTAGCAGAAGCTGCTATTGGACCTTTTTGTTCAATCTTGTTCCAAGAAAGCTTTGTCGTGAAAAAGTGTCCTTCTTTTGTAGTAGGGAGGTCGGCGACCTATATATACTTTCTAGCGTTTACTGGCTAACATGTGGTTACTCTTGTCTCCTTAGGTTTCCATCCTGGTCGACCTGTGGTGCTTCGTGGTTCGTCATCTGTTCCTATGAGGGTGATATGTGGTATGGGCGAATGCGGTCCTGTATCTCAAATTTGGTAGGGGGAGTTGTTGTTTCATATATTTTGCTATTTCTCCTTTTGATTCCTTGTATAGTTTCTTTCAAGGGAATCAAGGTTTTACCGTTTATTAATTTTGTTGATAGTAATGTCTTATTCGAATGAAAGACGATAGAGGAAATTATTTTATCTTGCCTTTGAAACTAGGCGCAAGGTGTAATTATTATTTTTGTAATTTTATATCTATATACATATTTTAGTGTGAAGCTCTCTTGGCTTTTCGCTCTGCGAAAGCTCGGGGCTGACACCAAGTTACAATTACCGAATGTCCAGATTGAGAATGCACACTTGGTATATACCATAGTCAGTGCAGCAATTGTTGGTCTTTTAATGGCATGCTATGATGCATAGCTGCAGAGTCCAGTACATTGGATTTGAAATAGTCTGACAGAAAATCAGGAAATTCCCCAACAACCTGCTTGAGGTTTGGGGGCAAGCTCAGTAAGCTTTGCAAAATTGGCTATACCTGCCACCTTCCAGCAGTGTTCATTCACTGCCTCAGAGGTCCTTTGCTTCCAGACCAAAGCCGTGTTTGTTTTATGCTCTATTGAAAGTCAGTGGAGATAGTCTTATTAGGTCTATTCAGTAAAATTTGTTGGAGGTCAAGAATCTGTCTGATGGTCCAGAATTTGCCTTGGACAGACTCATCAAAAGTTTACCATGTCATGTGCCTGATTTTTTGAGATTTTTGTTTTTCAGATCAAGGATTACCTTACACACACCTTTGCAAAAGAAGATCCAGAATAGAAATCAGTAAAGATACCAATAAGGTGTAAAATGACAATGAATTGGGGGACATAGAGGAAACTGGAAAGATGACAAGCCACAACATATCACAAGGGATCACAAGTTGTGAAGTATAAGGAAGTATGATGGCAATACTGGAGATTTCTGGAAACTCCAACCCTATGTTCTCTGTAATAATTTGCTTGGGCTTGATGGAACTATTAAGCAAGTAGGATATGCCTCCTCATAGATTTCACAGACCAAGCCAGATGTTGCAGGTAGTTGAGCTCTGCAGTTGGCACAGTCTTTGCTCCACAGCACAAGCACACAAGTGTGTTATGGTTGATGGCCCAACCTCACTCTCCACGGTCAGCTGCAGGCTGTTTTTACCTATGTAGCCGTTTTGCTAGAATCTGGCAGGTTGACCTGCCTACTGCCATAGACTTGGCTTCAAGAAGAAAACAAATCAATTCATGAAACCCATGATCTTCAGGTTTCATGACGGTCAAGTTGGGGCTACCGAACAACCCAGGCTCTCAAACAACCTGCGAGGCAGACGTTGTCAACCTGCGCATGCGCGAGTAGACGCTTGCGAAGCGTACACCCGCCAGGTTGACGGCAACCGAACGGGGCCTCACAGACATGAGGCAAAAGGGAACAGATGATTCTTTCTCCTCGTGACTATCATTTGTAGCCACCTGAGACCATGACATGGAGCAATCAATGTCATGCTGCCAGTAGTAGCACTACAATCAGGGTGTCCGGACTGGTACAGACCTGTTCATATATCTCAATTGTATCTGCAGGTGCCCAAGTTTGGCCCACAGGTGTCAATGAGGATCTCTTGGTCAGAGTACATAAATTCATAATTTAGGAAAATATTGGTATGGTGTGGTATAATGCTTGGTCATATGATGATATCAAGAGGTGGTAAAATGGGGAACCCTTGAACAATGTTTCAACCCGCATCTCTTGCGGCGAAATTCCCTTGATTGAAACTTTGATCAAGGGAATCGCAATCACAGAAGGCCTAGATAAACCACATACAGTCCTGTTTGTCACATCCAGACCTGATGAGCTGAAGAGAGCTGAATTAAGCCTGTGTGTGTTGATGGAAGAACAGTGAAAAATCCAGATAGTGCATCAAATCTCAGGTCCTTCATCACATCCGGAGTAATGTCCACTCTGGGCAGCAAGATTATATGTGGTCGAAAGATAGTGTACATGGCAGTGATAAGTGATATGTTACACATCTATTGAAGTTGTCGGGTCCATTGAAGAAAACAGCAGTCGGGGAGACACGTTCAACTAGAAAGATGAAACATTGGAAAGATCGGATTAGTACTGAGGAATTGCGCCGTGATGAGGTACAGAAAGCAACATGATCAGCACGAGGACTAAAATGTAAGAGAAATGCCGTCATACAAGTAGTAATAGAGGTAGGTTCTCTCACTCACTAGTTTGCAAGCCAAGCCCCTATGACTTTAGGAGTAGTCAACATAATGAGTTTGAAACATGCGGTCTCCAGATGCCACTGATGTGATGGAAGCCTGGCATGACGGCCGACTTGCAGAGTGGGATGTTCATGATCATTCTAAATGTCGAGTATCACCGTATCTACGTTTCAATTCGCGATACCTAGCCAAGAATATCAACGCCTCGACTTCTTTCCTAATCCATTGAGCTTTGGCCACCGCCCTTGCCAATTCATCTTCTTTCGTTTGTTGGTCTTGAAGTGACTCTAATCGAGACATTGTTGACCTAAAGCATTCACGTGTCTTTCTGGCCAACTGATAGTTTGGATCCGGATGATGAGGTGAGAGGTTGATGAGCTCTTTATATACTTTTCGAGCTCGATTTCGTAGTAGATTTACACCAGGCATGATCTAAGAAACTTGGAAGATTGTAGGTTGTCGGAGGGTTGATTAAAACTTGGAAGTAGTTTGACTTTGACTCTGATGTCATTATCAGAATCTGGATTGGTCTATCGATGTTTTCACAAAAGCAGTTGGAGGAAAACACATTATCAGTACAAACTGTAGTTTTGATTTCTGTTCGAGGTTTGAAACCGAACGCGTGAGATCGCGGTGCCGTTGTGCGCGTGATCAACAAACTGTTCAAGGAGCCTATATTCCATCAACGAATACGATGGGAGAGAGTTCGGATAGAGGAAGCATTCGAGGTAAGTCAAAAGTATCATGTAGATTACCTTCAGAGTAGTATCCTGATGTTGCTTTCTCTCAACAGCTATCGATCTCAATTCAGTTCACAAACTTACCTCCTCCCAGGTAGTGATCGATCTGCAAACCGCGGTTAAAGAGCTTCTCGAAAACAGTCTAGACGCTGGTGCTAATGCCGTTGGTCGGTTTTTCAAATCGAATCCCAAGATGTATGTTATCGGATATTCATTCCAGTATTCGCGATTCCGTAGAGATCAGGTTCAAGGAATATGGGCTCGATGGACTTGAAGTAATCGACAATGGTACTGGTATACCCGAACAAGATTTAGCTACAGTCGGTGAGATTTTCTTCAATCACTGCTAAATGACAACCGGTATTGATCAAATCACAACACAATGTTGTGGCCGTTTTTTAGGCCTCAATCATCATACATCCAAGCTCACCACGTTCGAGGACCTAGGACAACTCAAGACATTTGGGTTTCGCGGTGAAGCGCTTAGTTCACTTTGTGGACTTTCTAAGGTCTTCCTACTTCTTATTTGCTTTCCAATCTGCTATTCTGGAAAATAGCTCAATGATATAACGCTCAATTTAGGTCAAACTCCAAACTTCGACCAGTGAGACAGAACCAAGAGGCTGGGCCGTTGATTTTGACAAACTCGGAAATGTTACATCCAAGAAAATTTGTTCCCGTTCAGTCTGTAACCTCCCTAAATCCTTACGAATGCCGCTCGGGTTTTGCTGATACTTGGTCAATGTGACCTTCGCATGTTCGAAATCTACCCGCGTCAAATCTCACTCGACTAATTTACATCCACCTAGAGAGGTACAACAATTGGAATCAGTGAACTGTTCTACCCGCTACCTGTTCGACAGAAGCAGTTTGCGAAAGATTACAAAAAACATTTTGCACAGGCTCAAACATTACTTCAAGCCTATGGCCTCATCTCGACTAGTTTGACCCTCAAAGTCTACAATCAACCAGGAAAAGGGTCAGCCACTCGCTCTTTCTTGAACCCGTTCCTGATGTTTGAGTACTGAGACAGAGAACCAAATAGGGGAAAGGTCGCCCAATTCCAGACTCGCTCCAATGGCAACCTCAGACAGAATTTTTCCGATATTTTTACTGCTAAAGCAGCAGCTACAGTAATCGATTTGAACCTTGAACTCTCCATCAATCCAGACAAGGTGGTACTCAAGTCTCAAGTCTTGTCACCTGATACGCCATCTGATCCTGAAGTGTGGGTGTTCCTTTCAGCAAATCCGGTCCTATGTAATAGATTTTTTCACATGGTGCTAACATGCGTTGAAGTGCTTCCAGTACAATCATCAAAGTGGTAGGCTTGATCTCTAAGCCTGTCCATGGACAAGGACGCACCAGCGCAGACCGTCAGTTCTTTTATGTCAATGGCCGCCCTTTTGCACCTTCCAAGGTGATTTTTGAGCCTTCTTTGTACTGAGCCTTACAAGGTTATTGAAAGAAAGAAGGCAAGGCCAGGATTATCGGGAAGCGGATTGACTCACCTCATTGTATACACTCTTTCTTCTCTTGTACACTTCACAGATACCCAAATGTATCAACGAAGTCTATAGACAATTCAATCCGAATCAGTACCCGGTGGTTCTGGTCAACTTTATACTCAGACCTGATGCGTACGACCTCAACATCGACCCTAACAAACGTACTGTCTTCATTCACAGCGAACACAACCTGATTGAAGCTCTAAAGGTGAGCAAGACTAGTCACGCTTCGTGTGATCTTTTCTTTCTCGAAGCCAATAATTATTTTGTTCATCAATGTACTCAGTTTGCTTGCTTCAAACTCTTGCCTTGAAACAGGCTCAACTGGAGATTTTTTTTCAGCCATATCGCTCTACATTTTTGCTTTCTCAAACCAGTACCTTTCCAACGCGCCCGACGTCACAATATGAAAAGGCGAGCGTTAGCCAGTCGTCTCAGCGTGACGAGACGATTAATCGGACGTCTGCAACTCAACAAACTGCTTCCGAACCTGTTGTCGAACCTGCTTTCGAACCCGAAGAAATTCAACCACCATCAAAGAAGCGGAGACTTAATGAGGCGACCCATGGATCTACCGAAATGTCTGATCAACGCGATGACCAGGCATCTGGACTTTCATCTCACCAAGTCAAAGACATTCCAGACAAGTGTGATGACGTTGTGCTATCGGAGGACGCCCCAGCGCCGTCTTTGACGCTCATCGACCAATCAACTCATGTCGATACAACGGCATCCAAAGCCGGTCCTTCCACCACATCCACTACAGTCATTCATTCAGCGAAGCAGACGACTGGCGAGGATACAACAGAACGGTGGCTTCCAAGTGCTATGAGATCAGCAGCTTCTCGGAACCAAACGACATCGATCCAAATGACTCTCGATACATCTGGTGCCAGTTGGAGTCTAAGTAAATCAGATCAAACCGATCTTCAGATGACGGCTGGCGCGCACACGAAAAGGAAAAAGTTGACTCCCAAGCCACGTATTAATAGTATGCAAAGAATGAAAGATCGACTCCAAAAATTTACCAGAGGGTCTGAGGTGGTGGAAGTAGAAAGCGATGAGGGATCAGATGAGGAGGAGGCCGAAGAAGAAGAAGCTGAAGGAGAAGCTGAAGAAGAAGCTGACGAACGCTGACGAAGAAGCTGGCGAAGCTGCAGCTGAAGAAATGAAAAGTGATACTGATGAGTTGGAAAAGGGCAGCCGCAGTCAAGAAGACGAGGAAATGATCGTTGAAGAGCAAAAAGTCACTGAGCCAGCTCAACCATCAAGATCTTCCACGATTGATCTTGATGCCATCAATCCATCATCAGACCACTCGAATGTACCAACCTTGAGGACTACGAGAACGGTTCAAAGCCAATGGCGAGACGAGATTCAATCGGGCCAGATAAGTGGAGAAGTAGTTGTCAATTTGGACATGGACAATCTTGAACGAGTATGGTCTAGAAGTTTGAAAGTTACAGAGCCTGAATCAGTTGCCGATAGGACAGAAGAGCTGATGGCAGCAGGAATTGGCGAGTTAGAAGCAGAAGCAGAAGCAGCTTTAAGTCGAACGGTTCACAAGAGTGATTTTGCAAACATGAAGATTATTGGACAATTCAATCTTGGCTTCATTATTGTAGGATTGGGTGAGGAGGATGTGCTTATTGTGGATCAACACGCGAGTGATGAAAAGTACAACTTTGAACGTCTTCAGCGAGATACGAAACTATCAGGCCAGCGCTTACTTACGTATGTATTTCGATGACTGACAGCTCCATACGGAAGGCGTCTAGTGTAAATTTGATCATCTTATGCAGGCCTGAATGTTGTGCTTTTTTGAAACTAGGCCACGAACTTTGGATTTGCCGGCGGCTGAAGAGCTGACGGCCATGGAACATCGGGACTTGCTCGAAATGAATGGCTTTGGAATTTTGATCGACGAAGATGCACCAGTTGGACAGCGAGTGAAGCTGGTGGCTCAGCCTGTGAGCCGGGATACCATCTGGGGTCCTTCTGGTATGTCTTTTTGTCTATGTGTATGTGATGTCAAACCTGCTAACTTTTTGTTATTACGACCATATAGATTTGGAGGAGTTGATCAACCTAATTCGTAACTCAGACCGGGCGGCTAATAGCGACGGCAAGAGCCTTACAGGGGCACCACCGCTAAGACCTTCCAAAACTAGAAAAATGTTTGCGTCTCGAGCATGTAGAAGCAGTGTGATGATTGGAGATTCTTTGACGACTGGGCAGATGAGATCTATCCTGGACCACATGGGAATGATGGAAGAGCCTTGGGTACGCTAGATTTTTTATCCATTTGAGAGGAAATGAATCTCGCCGTAGTCTGGTTGCGTGTCACTTTGACTGGCATGCACTGATCGGATGCCGGTTATGCTGTGTTTAGGCATGTCCACATGGAAGACCTACGATGCGATGGGTTAGTTCTAAATTTGCCACATTCAGTTTTTGAAATGTGTCCTGACTCTGACATGTTCATATTCTTTATCTCCCATCCACATCGAACAACCTCCCCCTGTTCGATAACTTAGTTGACAAGGTGTGAGGATCAAAAAGAAGTTGATTCACGCGAGCAGGTTAAGGAACTATTGGAGGATTCCTTTTGTTGATTTTTTTGCGACGGTGATTAGAGTCTTGAATACAAGTGAAGGTGAACAGATTTCCGCATAGAAGCAGTTCTTGGGATCCATGACACGATGTTCATTGCCAAGTTGATTATAATTTTATGTTATGCTTGTACTTTACAATCCTTTTACTGCATTTTGTGCTTCTGAGCACAATTGGACGGAAGAGGTTCTTACACCAGTAAACCTGGTGCAAACCTGCAAAATCCCGGACTTTCAAACCGAGAGGTATACAAATCTGTGTAGAAGATAAGCAATTTTTCATTTTAGTAACAGTGGCTGTAATCTTGAGGTATGTATCAGCTTCAAAGTGCTTGTTAATCATGGCTCCCATCCCAATCCTTCCAATCTTAATTTCTGGGAGTTGGCAGGGAAGGCTTCTCTTGTGCTGGTGTCTCAGTTCTATGACTCAAAGATTTATGTCAGCAGAGGCCGAGCCAGGAAGATGGCACATATGCCCATTATAATTGTGGACCTTAGAACTGACCTCAACTCAATTGTCTATGACGCTGATAATTTTCCTTTTGGTTTGGTTGTCGACTTGTCAGGTTGGCAATCACAAACCATCACAGCCTTCTGAGAAGATCAATCAAGAAATAAACAAGTTCAAATTGGTGATAAGATGTGCTGATTCCACAACAAAGTTCAAAGATTAAAAAGCGACCACAGAAAGCACTCTAGATAGAGGTAGTTAACCATCAACAATAAGTACATAAGAATTGGTAAAACGACAGCGCATGTGAACAAAAGATTGTGTTGTTAATTTAACAAACAGTTGGTAAATGAGTAACGAGTTGGACAGTTCCATTAGACTTGAGCACAAAAATGCAAGATTGAAATCCTACTCAAAAATGCATTGAAGAAGAATAGGCGATACGAATAATTGAGCAAAGGTTCTCCAAAGTTTTCCGATGTAACACGAGTATAATGTGAAAATCAAAGGTTAGACAGCTGCGATGGCACTTGTAGATTTGCAGTGACCCGCTCTCTGGCCAATCATCGCACTTCTAACCCAAAAGAGCCTTGAGGCCTGACGTCAACGAAGGAACAATTCCTGTCCCAGGTGGAGCAGCAGGTTGCTGAGCGGGCCCGCGTTGATCGGCGGTTCCGGAGGTGCCGCCTGCTCCTTGAGTCGCCGGTGTTCGCGTTGGAGTGGTAGTGGGGTCATCACTCTCCCCGCTCTGATCATTAGAAGAATCCCTCCCACGTCCGCCAGGCCTAGCAGCAAGACCACTCGATCCCCGACCGTTTCCTCCGGATCCAGGAGCTCCCCGACCATTTCCTCCAAAACCTGACCCAGGGTTTCCGGTTGGACGCGAGTCATCGTCATCGTCATCATCGCCATCGTCATCATCGTCATCATCATTGACCGGTACCTTTGACACTGGGCATTTTCCTTTCTCCCCGTGTCGAACTCTGACCAACAATTGTGGGTACGGCCCAAATGTTTCGCCCGATCCTGGGTCAAGTTGCACATGACCACCCTACATTAGATAAAGTTTTGTTTGTTTCATTCTTTTCTCTTACTGTATTTCACATATTTCACATGTAGGAATATCGCAAAAAACATACCTGTCCTCCACAACTATTGAGCACAGCATAGATGCCATACTTGATGACGTCGATAGGGCTGAGAGAAATATAAGAGCCAGGTTAGATGTGTCTGTCGGAGCGTACGTGAGATGGGAGTATGTAACTCACGCGCGAATTCCATACTGCGTTAGAGACTCGACCACGATCTAAGTGATGAAAAAAGTGTAAGTAGTAATCCGATTCGAAGATCACAAGATTGTAGACTAACCTCACACCTACGACAAGACTGGGAAGCAAGCGGTTTAGTATTTAACATCCAATTTCCATAATTAACAAACGACGCCATAACCCTACAAAACAAAAGATACATTCAGGTGAGGGCTGTCACACAAAGAACGTGAAAAGGTACTGACATGTCGCAATTCTTTTGTTTAAGATTGGACTGCTGGGAAGCAGTCGTATCGCATTGCGGTGCGAGGCCACTAGCATAATTAAATGCAAACAATGAAAGATAGAAACTGATATGAAACACCGCCATCTTGAGTGACTTATGTATTACGAGGAATTAAAGAGAAGTGGGGGCACTGGATCCTGAAGGATGATTCTTCAAGCCGGATGCAAGCTCAACCAGAAGCTATGACAAGATACTGCTAATAATTAGGTGGTAGTAAAGAGCGTGAGGATGCGGAGATTGCAAGTTAGTGCAGGATAGTCGTGAAGCATTTATTGCACGAGGGAGCCTCTGGATAGCTCTGAATACATCATGTATAGCTGAGAGCTTTGATAGTTCACTATAATTTGTATCCAAACAGAAGGCAAGCTGAACTTTGAAGCCTGCCAAAGCTAAGAATACTGACACCGCTGTCAGCCTGAAGTTATTCTACCTGAAGGTTCTGTGATAACTATGAGAAATCTCTGGACTTTCACAAAGAGACAAAGAGTTTAAAATCCGAGTTTTGACATTTGGAAATTTACAAATTGGATTTGTGTGACAATTTGATCTGCATCCGCGAGGTAGATTCACACAAGCGCAAATGTAAACCCGTGTTGGAGGCCCGCGGTGCGAAAGGGACGGGGATTGACGCAAAGACGGACAAAATTGTTGGATGGACCGTGATTCATGATTTTGGATGTACCCAAACGCTGTAAGTTGTCGGCGGCATTGACCGCAATGTTGAAAGTGCGAATTGTGATGATTCATCGTCATCGGACAGCGTCGATGTGGCTCCCCTGGAATCCTTGAGTAGGAACAAATTCCGAGCATCAGATCAGTCCCTCACTTACCGGGGGCTCGGGTCGCGAGCGACAGCGTAGGACTTTGCTAAGATTAGTTTTTTGAATTAAAATTCGTGAGAGTCGAAAGCAGATGGATAGAGTCGATTGGTCGGATTTGACAGCTTCATGACTCAACGCATCAGGCAAGCCGCAATGTTGATAAGTATCAATAGGATTCTTGAAGGGGGGTTCAAAATGATGTATGTAATTACAAGTCAACCTGAAACATCCCTTGAGCCCAGAAGTCATTTAAGGCCTACTCCTTCGCTGGTTTTTGCTGGACTTCATCACTTCTTGCATTCTTGCACACAAGAGAAAACATGTTCAATATCTTTATAGCTCGAGCTTTGTCCTCATGGATGTTATTTGATCTAGTTTCTGCTCAATTCCCGAGTCCTCTTTCGAACGTTGGTCAGACCTTTCCAAACCAGTTCTCACAACCTGGTGGTTCTCCTGGGGCTATGGGTGGCTTTTCACCTAATGGCCCACAATTTCCTGCTCAACCATTCGTCCCTGGTGGATTTCCCGGTGGTGTTCCGAATGCATTTTCACCATATGGTCAACCATTCTCTGGTCCTGGTTTACCTCAGCTACCCGCATCAGGACTCGACACTAGTGCACCATACCAATGTGATCAGTTCGGGGGTCAAGAGGCCGAGATCAAGTTAAAACATTGCAACCTGTAAGTATGATCTATCGCACCCATCATTTCATACTTTGCTCACCTCTCTTTGCTGCTTTTGCCTGTCTATCAATTCAGTGCGCTGGGGGAATTCTTTAACTACGGACAGTGGGTTTGGAGTACAGACCTTACGAGCTCTCGAACTTGTTCTACTTGTCAGGTAAGTCAATCTCTTTCTCCATCTATCCCACAGAGTTGCGCTAATTATCGTTGAATGTATCTTCACTCAGGTCCTGTTAGAGTCACAGAGCCAATTTGCTGTTGCAGTGTGAGTTTGTGTTTATACACCTAAATTCCAACTCATAATTCGATACTGACTCTAAGATCTTTAGTCCTGCTCAAGCCTTAAAGAAAAAGGTTTTTGATATCCTAAGTGGCTGTCGCAACCGAGTCAGTATAACTTCACATCATTTGAAAAAAAGAAAGATATTCTCATATTTTTCAATTTTTAGGCCGGACTTGCTAGTTTAAATGAAGGCGTTGCTCTACCATTTGGATCATTTGGACCTGTGACTGTCAGTCTCCAAATTGCTCGGGGCAAGAAATGTACAGCAAGAGAGGATGACGACGATGACGACGACGATGATGATGATAGCGATGATGATGACGATCATGCTTTTACCTCGAGTAGGTCTGCTCCAGGTAGGTCAACCTCAAGTAGCCTTGCGGCGGGTAAATCTACCTCCAGCAGGCCTGCGTCTGGTAGGACTACTCCATCTTCGTCTGGTAGTAGTACTGGTACTGCGGGTGGAGCAAGATCACGCCCGGTGTAGAAATCATTTGCGCTCAAAATCACTTCCTTGTCAACCCACATCATCTTGAGGTTTATCAAAATCCAAACCCAAAGTAAAACCCACAACGCTCTTTACCTCTCGTTCTTTTCTATGATTATATTATCAATTCTTCTTGTTGTTTTTGTGTGATAGATTTAGATTTGTAATTCGAGTTTGGTCATGGTAGCAAATTCTTATCTTTCAATCTTACAATGATTTGATTAATCTTCATAGTTCCTATCGTTTTTGAAATTGTTAGTTTAGCTCTTGGTAGTATTTTGTGCGTGTCACTTCAGGCTCAGCTTTGGGAATACATAGAGACTCCGTTTAGCTGTGAATGAAATTCGGTGGTAGCTCTTCAGATCTCCAACTGCAATATTTGATAGCTAGTAGCATGATCTACAAATTCAATCAAGCACAAATTGATTATTCTCCAATTCTGAAAAACCGATGCCATGGTTTTCGGGTTGTCTTGACTGGGTCTTTCATTGAATTTTGAAAACAACCAGGATGACGATGACAATAAAAAGCGAATCTTTTTGGGAGTGATTTGGCGTTCTTGGATGACAAGAAACACATCGATAAATGGATACCCATGTTCCTACTTGCAAACCTTAGCCAAGAATCAGGTATGACTCACAACTGAAGCAAGTTTACTTAAAGTTATTGCCTATTGGCGAACAAATTGTAAAAACTTGTCTTGGTCCAAATGTGGAGGATGTCAAGATTGGTTTTTCATTTCACTGTTACTTGTTTAATTTATCTGATTCCCAAGTTTATCAAAATGTAATCTTAACTTCAGGACTGGAGCATATGACAAGGTGATTATGTCATCATCTATCATGATCATTGGGTTTTCTGTTGACCATTAGTACTTGTTAACAGAGGACTCGCACTCCTCTTTTCCCTTCAAGTTTTCAAGCCACTTGAGTTACCTCAACAGAAAGAGTTATACCATTTTCTTATTTGTCATGCTCTTTATCATAAACTGATTCTAATGGTTTGTTATCTCCTTATTTTATCCTTGATATCGATCCCTTCACTACAAAAAAATACCATTCGATTGAAGACATATTGGTTCGTACTGATTCACATTACATGGGCTGCAAAGGTACTAACTTTTACCTTGCTGTTTACCTACTTTCCAACCTACACAAATCGTTCATGAAGATGAGAAGGGAGATCGAATCAAAGAATTTGGTTTTCAACCTTTGATGAATGGTCAGCAAAGGATAAAGACAACCCAAATTTCTATTCAATCAGTCACAAGCCACACCCTCTCAAGAGGTGTTCTGCGCAGGATAAGCAATTTGGGTTATCCATTTCTGATTTTTTAGGAAGAAATCGTTTTTAAGAAGTTGAGCATCATGTATGTTGAGGCTCAGAGTTTGAAATCCCATGAGAAGAAATCGTTTTATTTCCGGAGCTTCACTTGGATTCAGTTGGATTTCATTCACATCCTCACATCCCAACATCACCATCTGGTTACCTACAAACAGAAGTTCTATGATACGAGAAAGTTTCCAAGTATGAATAGTGCCGATTGTGAAAGTTGTGTTGTATGCTGAGTGACTGTATGATTCGAGACCAAAATTTCGACAAGATTTTTCAATTTTCACACAGATCAAAGCTCAGCAAATTTAATTGACTACAAAATTAATGATACCTCGATTATTATTTCGTCCTATTCCGTCGATTTCATTCTCAATCCAAACTCGCTTTCCAATGAGATTTCCTCGGTTGGATCAAATCACAACATCAAAATCAGTTTCATCAACTACATTAAAAATGTCAGATCCACAAAAATCTTCAAGTCGTACATCAGCAAAACCTTCTCAACATCGATCTAGGAAACCTCAATCCCAACAAACCTCCAATACTACGAAACTTGGAACGCCTAGAGAGTTTCAAAATCAAGCTGATGCAATGGATGTCGATCAAGATGAACCTCAGTCTTTAGGAAGTACTCGTCGGTTTGCTGATACGGCTCTTTCGACTGGTTTGAAAGCTGTTATTCCTTTTGAAACTATGTCTGAGATTCAAGCTGCTACACTTGATGTGAGCACTTTCATTAATCAATTTATCAAATCATCTATCTAATCCAATTGTTTTTGATGTTAGGCCGTCTTGGGGGGTCAAGATGTACTTGCGCAAGCTAAAACAGGTTAGTCTTGCTCAGAACACGCCGCTTTGATCTTGGGAAAATCCATACCAATGTTATTTTTCGTCCGGGTATATGTGTTCGATCGTGTTACCAGGTACTGGAAAGACTCTGGCATTCTTGGTACCAGCAGTAGAAAAACTTCGAAACCTAACACCAATGCCACCCAATCGACAAATCTCAATCTTGATTATATCCCCAACTCGTGAATTAGCTGCTCAAGTAAGCTAACAGCGCTTTTTGTTGGAAGATCAATTTGTGTTAACATTTTGGAAACTTTTCGATAGATTGCACGTGAATGTCAGCCTTTGCTAGAGGGTACTTCGTTTGGAGTACAATGCGTTGTGGGAGGTACGAAGTGAGTAGCACAACAGACGCTCTTCCGTTCGATCACAGATATAAAATATGTCATTGCAACACTTTACTCATGTGTTGTATTCGTAATTTTTTTCCAGCATAAATACGGAGATCAATAAGTTGAAAAACAATCGGTGTGATGTCTTAGTTGCCACTCCAGGGCGACTTAAAGACCATTTACTCAACCAAGGACTTCAAGGCCAGCTACGGCAACTTCGATTTTTCATTTTGGATGAGGCAGATAGGTGAGTGTGGTTTACTCACTCCCTCTTGAACAATAAAGTGTTTTGACAATCCCGCTTGATTTTTTTTCTTAGGCTGTTAGATATGGGATTCAAGCCTGATATCGATCAAATTTTACAAACTTTACCAGACCGAAGATCAGTTCCTAGGCAGAGTATGTTATTCTCTGCTACCATACCTGCTGAAGTTATGAAGGTGTGTAATTCATCAAGTTTTCCAATCTGTTAAGCTCAACCTTTTCTGGCCATCCGTATCTATTTGATGGCCTCGGTTGTGTTGACATCCTCTCTTGATGTGTTCCAAGTTGATTTGTTTCTACGATAATTCAATACATTTCTTCATGAATCATCCCTGCTCCTTAGGTCAAAAACGCCGTCTTACTTCCAAACCATGCTCATATCTCTACACTTAAAGCTGAAGACATCAACGCTCATCTACACGTTCAACAAGACTTTGTGATTGCTCATCTACATGATCATTTCGCTGCTTTACTAGAGATCATCAAACAAGATCTTATTACACACGGTCCTAAATCAAAAACAATGGTCTTCTTTCCTACCGCACGTGCTACAGGATTAGGTGGAGAAGTTTTGAAATATTGTTTGAAGGATCGAGTGCCAGTCTTTGAACTTCATTCTAGGATCGCACAGGGGGCTCGTACTAAAACGGCTAAAAAGTTTAGTGATTGCGAATCTGGGGTTTTAGTCACGAGTGATGTTTCGGGTCGTGGAGTAGACTATCCTAATGTCACCACGGTTTGTGCTTCTTCTTTTCCCAAATCTTTCTCCCATTTAAACGATAAAACTGATGATTGTCCTATGGTGACCTCACGCAGGTTGTTCAAGTTGGACTCCCGATGACACCTGAGGATTATGTGCATCGTTTGTCATTTTCATATGACGAAATTCTTGTCGTGTGTATATCACTTACTCATCATCTCATTGATCTCTTTCATCAGGTCTAGGTCGGACAGCTCGAGGTGGAGCCACAGGACGAGGTATCATCATTCTGGCTCCTTTTGAGCAAAAATTCTTAACACAAGGTCAAATGAGTAGTATGCCACTCAAACCTCATCCACCGATCGACTTGGATCGATCCGAAACAGATGAAGCATTAGATCAAATTTCAGAACAATCAAAAGATCAAACCTATGCAGCATGGTTAGGATATTATAAAGGAAAGATGAAAGTCTGTGGGTTTGATCCAGTAGGTTTAGTCAGGACTGCGAATGAGTATGTAAGAGATGGGATGAGGTATCAATCTGATCTTACACCTGGACTACTGGCCAAAACGGTAGGAATGATGGGATTGAGAGGTGTACCTGGTTTGAGAATCATTAAACCAGATCCTTCTGAGTTTGATAGACGAGGTGGTGGTAATGATAGACGAGGTGGTGGTAATGCTAGGGGTAGGGGTTCTAAACCAGCTGGTAGAGGTAGAGCCTAGTATGAGCTAGTGTTCCCTGGTGGTCCGGCTCATGAATGAGGTTCTGTGGCACGATACGAGTGAAGATTGAAAAAGTAAAAAAAGGCTTATCACAAGAATTCCTGCTAGGTATCCGCTCGCAAGTTTAGATGGTTTTCAAGAATTCAAATCGATTTAAATCAAACTCAAGGTTATTTGAATCTTATTAGATAGATTTTTTTTTCTTCAAGTTTTGTTTAGATTTATAATAGATTTTTATATGGAATTGCATTAGGTATGAATTGTGAAAGCAAAATACAAGTAGACTTTATGACTTATCTTGGATTAAAGTCAATCAATCTTATTTGAAAGTTTTGGTATTCTTTTCAAATCTTCATTTTGGAAAAGTGATTTCAGAGGTGGTAAGATGTTGTGACTTTGATGAATTGGCATCTTTTGAAATGTAGAAAAAAAACATGATACCTTGTCAACTTTGGATCTTCTTCTTCAAAGGAAGCGCCTTTTGAATTGATTTCTTGTCAATTGGTTTGTGAGTTGAATATTTTTATCAGAATGAGTCTGATTAGACTTGAGAAGTTTTGACAGATCTTAATCTACTTCATCCTTTCCTTTGATGGACACATTGTATCAGTTCATCATTCCTGGAAGAAAAAATTGACTCAGTTTGACAAAACTAGCATCACTCAAGGTTGCTATCTCACTTCAACCTCAACAAGCATGCACTCAGGCAGCATCACAGTGCAGTGTGTTATGGGTAATTTCATACGGGTTTTTTGCCATCACGTTTTGAACAAATCACGTCTGTTGGACGCTCCCTTGAACTTTGAGCTGATATGAAAAATGTGACAAAGTTGCAGACTCCTTTGATGAAACAGGATAGAAAATGAAAGGGTCTAAACAAATCCGGTGGTATGAGTCTGACTCTAAAAACAATCAAGCTTTGAAATTGAGATGATGGAAATTGCCAAGAAATCAGTTCATGAAAGGCTCCTGGGATGAAGACATATTCATATGTATATCAAATCTTATTCAAACAATTTCCAAAGCAAAAGAATCAAGTGGTTTAAGGATTTAGCCATTTAACAATCCGATCAGCTAATTGATTTGAGCCTAAGAGTTCATCATGATCACCAATTACAGAAGTAAGATCAGGTTCAAGTAAAAGTTTAGGACCATTACTTTGAGTTTTAACCAATTGATTTAAATGATTAACGAAAAGATCAGTTTGTTTAGTAGATAAAAGACTATCATCTTTAGAATGAATGATCAAAAGTTTAGAAGAAATTGGGAAATTAGAAGTAGATAAAGACCAATGTAAAGGTGAAACGGTTTGCCAATCATTTGGTTGTCCATCTGGTCCTATGGCTTCTTGAACAAAATCAATATAATCTGGATATTCTTGAATTAATTCTCTTAAACCATATATCCCATCTAGAAGACCAAGTCCGATGACAGATTTTGGAGTTTGAATTATACTACTTGGATCATTATTAGATAAGATTCCTGAGATTGAAAGACAAATGAATGCTCCAACTGAATGACCCAAAAGATAAATTCGAGTTCGATCATATTGAGGATTAGATCTGTTTAATAAGAAATTCACAGCTTTTGATACATCTTGATTATGAGCTGGATGGATTACTGGATGAGTTCCTATTGAGAGTCGATAGTTGATGGTAGAGATTGACCATTTTGGAAATCGAATTGAAAGACTATCGATTAAAACTTGATTTGTACCTTCAGCTTTATCACCTGTAAAGAGAGAGAAATCGAAAAATCAAAACAATGATCGAATTCATCATGAATATTTCAAAAGTTTTAAGAAATTGTTAAAAACACTCTTACCACTTCGCCATGCACCACCATGAACATAAATTAAGAGTGGTTCAAGTTGATTTGAAGGGTTGATAGGTGTATAAAGATCGAGTTTTTGAAATGGATCTGTATCATAACTTATGTTTTCTTCTAATCGATGATTAGAACTGGCTACTATAAGATTAGATATCAAAGTCATCATCGAAAAAGATTTAATCAACATCCTTGAAAAATGTCTTTTGAAGGGTATGTAGTAAAAAATTCGACTCGGATTTAAAGAAACGACTCTGTCAAACCAAAAAAAAGCTTCCTTTTGATTTATGTACTGGATTTACTTATGACCTTTTAAAGTTGTATACACGTTCAATAAAAGAACTCAAGAAATCGTCTTGAACTGGTTCAACTTTTTTACCCATGCCTTTGGCATTTTTTCCATACGGTTTTCCACACCTGCAGTGGGTGGAAGAGCCACTGAGGTGGCGAGTATTCTTTTCGGTGTTGGTGGTAGTTTTTCCACCAAATCGGATGGTATAATATGATAATTTGAACTGATTATGTACAGTACAACTTACCTCGATGGCCCATGTCCATAGGTGTAGAAGTTTTCAATGAATTCAGAATTGCTCAAGTCTGGTTGTCCACTATGTAAAACCAAACGTAATGTGACGTATTGGGTTTGAAAATGCTCGGAGAAGACCACTTTGGTTTACTTTACTTGATAGTGGAGGTATCGATGATGCCTCGATATAGTGGAGGTCTGTGGGAATTCCCCGTGGAGGTACTGGTGGAGGTACTGGAGGAACCTGTGGAGGCTCAGTGGAGGTTCAGTGGAGTCGATTGTTTTGTGTTTGAGTTGATATTTTGTTTGAGAAAGAGTTGATGAATTCTGTCAAAAGAGGTAAACAGGATTAAGGATTATTTAAATTTACCTAAAACACTACAAAACAAGACAAAACAGTTTAAAAAGCACTTCATCTTCATATCCAACCTACTTCACAGCCCTCAAACTTGGTGGGTCTGGTTCTGCATCCTTTCATAACACTTCAATTATACTACTTACACAAAGTTGGTTCTAGTGATCAATAGTTTACATCCAGAATACGGTACAAAGTTAAACTTATAACTTTGACAAAGGTATCTTCAATTATCTACAATTGCTGACAATCTGGTAGAATAATAAAGGCAAGATCACATTGAAGTTGTGTTATCTCATCCCTGATACATGTAGTACACCTGTCTTGATTTAATGAATCAAAACAATCTGGTGGGTTTGGAAGGTCCTACATTGCTAAAATCCTCTTGTTGAATTTTTGATTGATTGATTTTGATCAAATCTTTGAAAAAGATGAAAAGGTTTTGGGACCATTTATTGACTTTCTGATTAACTTACAACGGAACCAGGGTATAGAAGAGGAGCATACATAAAGTCCTGATACCTATTATGAAATGTGATCAAAAAAGGAGTTATGGAATTGAAGATATACAATTTCTGAAGTTTTCCTTAGATCTCTTATTTATCATGTGTGTTTTATTTCCATAACATAGGTTCTTTACACTGTCATGATTAAACACTCTCCCAATTGGGATGATTTTTCTTTTTTTTTTGGAATGATTAATTGTTGACAAATAGATTCCAATCAAAAAAATCATATTAATTATTCCATTTGGGATAGTGTTTAATATTGACAGTGTTAGAGACATAGGTCTTTGAAAACTCTTTCAAAGTATGTATTTTCAAAACTTTCACTGATAAAAGATTTCACCAAGAATTTGTTAAAATGAGTTGAACCAACTCACAGTTTAGGAATACTCACATTATTACAGACAAGATTGTGGGAAGATAGAATATCTTCATCAACAAGAATCCTTCTCAATTCTGGTTTGTCACTCAGACACAAAAAAATTGATTTCAACTTTATCACAGAATAAAGAGTTTTAAGAAGTTGTTTATGGATGTAGCTCTATTGATAACACAAGCCATGCCATGGAGATCAAAATTCAGTGGGCTTCGAGTAAACAAATATGGATACATTTGTTGTTACCTCTGCACTGGAATCTTGTTACAATCCTTGAAGAATATCATGAGGTACCTATAATTCTTTTGGTGTGATCCATATGTTTTCAAATACTTTTGGTCAAGCTATCTTGACTTGGATAGTGAAGCATTAAATATACAAGCATTGTGAGATGTGATTTGGTTTAACTTTCACAAACTTGGCTCAAGTGAGAAGGAATGTTGGATTTGATTCTGAAAATCACATTCAAGGATCAAGTTGGAAATGGGAGAAATTGAAGGTACAACTTGCAAACAGAGTGTATGATGGTGCACTACTAAACATGCACTTCAACAAGCTAACTTGACTATTTGCCAACATTGTCTATTTATCAAGCTGCTTTCACTTTCTTGAGTGAAGCTTCTGTATCCCCTAAATGTAGAATCTCTTCATGGTATAATAAAAGAAATAAGATAACATAAACCAAATATATTATAAAAAGAAATGGAGTGTAAACAATAAAAGAACTACATTAAAGTAAAGGTGACTTAAGAATAAACAGAAGCAACCCAAGAGAAATTTTAAGTCATACTTGTGTGTGTTTTTTAAAAGTGCTTAGACGCTTTGTTGAATAATCCACCAACTAAACAAGTCAAAATAGTATGACATTAGACCTACACAAGATGGTCATTTAGTCAAACACCGGAGTAAATTAAGTCTTTTGATCTTCAATAACATTCTTTGAGCTTTTCTTTTTTTTGACCTATTTTTTTAAAAAAAACTTTAGTGAATATTTATCTTTAACCATTAATTCTTGTAAGCCGTAGAGTTTCAGTGAGACTGTCAGGTATTTGATCTGTGTTTGATTGTTTGCCATTCATGACTATGTTCTATCCTACTGAATTCACAATGCAGAGTGTATTGAGTGACAATCTCACATTAGCGTGAACTCATCCCCAATCTAAGGTGGAAGGTAAAGCCTCTGTGTGTTTGAAGCATCTGGATTCTGGAATGTTTACCACTCCTGATCTTACTATTTCTGACTGTTATGAACAATAAATACAGTTTGCTAACACTTGGATACATAACAATATTGCAGCATGCAAAACTTTGTGACATTGATCTTTACTGTGGGTTAGGTTTGATTAGCTCTGTGACATGTGTTGATGTAACAGTGCTCGCCAGTCACACCCCGTGAAATCCAGTGTGACATTGAAGTTGTACATGACAAGCAATCATTGATTTCAGTTTTTTAAATTTTTCTAGGAATCCCACCATCAAAACATTGAAAAGACAAGAAAACCAACCAATCACAATGGTCAACAAACGAAATCAAAAAAGATCAAAGGTAGCATCAGATCATCAAATGATATCTACCACTTCAAATCAAACTATCTCAGATTCAAGTTTGAAACCATTAACAAATGAAGAAATCGAATTAGAAGAAGCTGTCTTTGGTCAAGCTGCTTCTACTAAAGGTAAACAAAAACAAGTCACTTGGAATGATCCACAAGATCAAGAAGAAATCGAGGGTGAAAATCAGATAAATGGAGCTGATGGTGAATTGGAGGGTGTCAAAGATGAAGAGGTATATCCTATCACTTTTCTCATTTGATAAATTTTGAGTCTGATGAATTGAATTTCTTTATTTTCAGTTATTTATGATCGATGATGGTACAAATCAAATCTCGTCACTCGGACCATCCGAGGTTACTTTACCAACAGCACAACCTAAAGCAAAACCTACACAGAGTACCAGAGAACCACTATGGCAAGATAAATCTATTGCTCAAGTCTCGGTTTCTTTGACCAATGGACCAAGTCGTCTTAAAAAGTTACGAAAAGTAGATGATTTAGATGATGTAGCCGGGGGTAGAGCTGAAGGAACTATTGATGGAGAAGAATACGAACTTCGACTTCGAGAACAATTCGAAAGGATGAACCCTACACCAACTTGGCTAAAGGACCGTAAAAACTTGAAGCGTAAGGCAGGTGATAATGCTCAAGTCGAATCAGATCAATCTGATGAAGAAAAAGACGATGGTGGAATCGAACAAGCTCTTAGAACGACTGGAAAGATCTTAAAGGTTAAACCAACTTATCGACCAGGTGCTACATTACCTAAAGGTGAACTTCAGGTTGAACGATTAAGAGATGCAAATCAAGCTGTTACATCGACTACGAAATCACCTATTTCTGCTATTCAATTTCATCCAACATCACCTATCCTTTTTACGGCTTCACCTAAATCACACAAATTATCATTTTTTAAAATCGATGGAAAACATAATCCTGTATTACATCATGTTCATACACCTGATTTACCTATCACTACAGCTGAATTTTGTCCTTCAACTCAAACTTCTTCAACACTTCTCATGACTGGAAATCGACCATATTTTTATACATTTGATTTAGGATCATGTCAATGTATTAAATCACCTGAAAACTTATTTACCAAATCAGCTTTATCACAATCAATCAAAGGTACCTCTTTAAGTCGATTCTCATTTTCACCTCAAGGTCAAATCGTTGCCTTTCTTGGATTAAGAGGTTTGATTCAATTAGTAGATTGGTCAAATAATATCGGTTCATCTCAAGTGATTGGTACATTAAAATCAAATAATCCAATCAAAAGTTTATCTTGGAATCGAAACGGAACTCAACTTTTGACCGTTAGTCATAATGCAGAAGTATCAGTTTGGGATATGAGGATGAGAAAATTAATGAGTACTTGGATGGATCATGGTGGATTTAATCCTACATTGATAACCACCACTGATAAAGATTGTGGTAAAAGTACAGGTCGATCTTATACTGCTATTGGAAGTCAAACTGGGATTGTGAATCTTTATGATGATCAAGATTGGTGTAATGATGAAAATGAAGAAGATAGATTGTTTGGAATCGAAAGAAAACCATTGAAGACGATTGAGAATCTAACCACTTCGGTTAGTACGATGAAATTTAATTCAGATGGTCAGATTTTAGCTATTGCTAGTGATTCTAAAAAAGATCAACTTAAATTGGTATGTGATGAATCTTTATCCTTCAAATCTTTATTAAATTTTCTGATTGATTTTTGTTTTTGTTTAGGTACATTTACCGAGTGCTACTGTTTTTTCTAATTGGCCTACTTCTGGTACTCCTCTAGGACATGTATCAGATGTTAGTTTTAGTAGTAAAAGTGATATGATGGCGATCTCGAATACAAAGGGCACGGTACTTTTGTACTCTTTGGGTTGGTGGTCTAAACGTACTACGAAAATGAAATGATCATGAAAAAAGATGAATATTATATCAATGTTGGGTTATACCTGAGATGTTGAATTTCTTTCGAATTTTTATGGAAACCCTTTTGGATTTTTATAGACTAGATTCATCAGAACATTAGGTGCTTGTCAAAAAAGTGAATTGATTCATGTCATTTGATGAAACTTACATATGGAAAACAAAATAAGAAACTACATAAATTAGACTCTTGATCCTGATGTTTAAAAACCTTAGTGAGAGTCATTGCTTGTAAAGAATAAATATGCAAATAGAGTTGACGAAGCGTGAATCAAAGAAATCGGATAAAATAAAGGATTGACAGTCAAGAGAGTGAAGATGAAGACAATCAGATAAGTAAGCGCTTATGTACTTAAGACTTAGGTATCAGTAAAAGTACCGAGTCACGAGTGAGAGCTCAGGGCTCGAGGCGGATAAACCCGATTGAAGTTGTGCTTTGGGTTTCAATTTTTGCAAAAATTCATAACTCGGGCTTCAAGAAATTCATTTTCAACTCAAGAGTGAAATGAAATTAGAATTAAGACAATTGAGAAGAAATATCAAAACATTAAACACTTCAACACTTTAAAACTCAAAACATTCCAATTCTCAACAACATCGTAAGTTAGTTTATCATTTGTAAATTGAAAAACTTGAAAAAGAGAATCTAACTAACAAAAATGAAAAGGAAATGAAATGAAACAAACTTTCCAAACCTTTCTTTAGGTTCTATTTAAATGAACTCGTAGGAATAGAATCGAACTCAAAAAATTCCATCAAGTTTAAACCACGTTTGAGAGAAAGAGCAGGGATTCCAAATTATCTGAACCAATGGAACACATCCAAACCAAACAACGATTCAATAGGATCATCAAGTCGAACTCAAATACCTGAAGATGATACTCAAGTGATCAAGCCATTAAAACCAATGAATTCAATGCAACGAACTCAAGCAGAAAGAGTCAAAATGAACCATAGGGAAAGAATGATAGCATTGGATTTATTACAAGACCTATCGATTCCTAAGCACGAACTGAATCAAGAAGAAACCAATCTGAGCGAATCAACAGATCAAGAAGATCGTAATGAATTTGATTTCTTTAATGGATCAGAATATCAAACTATCTTAAAACTTCAAACCAAAAGTACATTAAATAGAAAAAGAACGAATTTTAAATCATTAGAAGATATTCAGTTAGAAGATATGATGAAAGAAATCATAGATGAAAAGATTCATCTTATTAATCAAATCGAAACTGATCATGCATTATTAGAATGGGTAGAAAAACATTTCATGGATCATCAGAATCATCAATCTAATCCGAAAGATAAATCTTCGAAATCGATGACTCAAACAGACGAAAGTTTAAGTGAAGTGAATTTAAAAGAATACATTGAATTTTCTAAAGAGATTTCCAACCAAAAACCGATTTGTCTAAGTCCAATCTCATCTAAAATCTTACTACACTTAATCCAAACGTTTTATCAAACGTTTTATCAACCGAACCTATCTTTATATTTATTTAATTATATTCGAAATCATTCGAATCCGATGATCAAATATTTAGGATTAAGTTCCGAAATTTATGAAGAGATTTTAAAACTTCATTCGAATGAAACTTATGATTTGTTTGAAATTAAAGAATTATTAATCGATATGAAAACTTTAGGTTTAGAAATTAATGATGAAATTCAAAGTTTGATTAAACGGATCATAGAATTGATGATTAAAGATGAAATGAATGCCGAAAGAATCGTGAAATCTGAATTCGATTCACGAAGAACTGATTTAAATGGATTGGAACTTGATGATCAAAGGAATGAGTTTAAAATGATTCAAAAACGTAAAAGGTTTAATCAAATCGATTTAAAGAATGTATCAATCATGGAAAACTTATTAAATGAAATCGTCTTAAATCAAAAGAAATCATTTTAAGAATTTTTCATAATAAACCATCTTTCATCACATCAATTGATCTTTCAATTGGTTTATACCACTCATATATCATATTTGGAATTCTTTTCTTCTTCTTTTTTTGTTGTTTAATATCTTTTTTTGCAAACAAATCTACTTTCCATTTTTTTCTAATAAATTCAAGATCATGGTAGACTTTATGCAATCACAAATGTTAATCTTTTGATCAAATCAGCCATCATCCTAGTTCTTTATTGTGATGTTGAGACTAAATCCCAAATAGGGGATTCTGCTTTAACAATTTGTAAGTCAAGGCTTGTGTGAATAAAGATATAAAACTATAGTGGTGGGTATCAAAAGAAATTCTTGACCCAAGAAAGCTCAAGTTAGAATAAAAGAGGTCTGCTTTTTACTTTTTAATCAGTTTTGCTTGGAAGACCAATTTAAATTTGTCTCTTCAAACCTACCTTCACATTTGTTTTGACTCACATGCTTGTCTTGAACAAGGTTCCTGAGGATTGTGCAATAGAATTATAATGGAAAACTGGAGCCAAAGAACACATGGCAGTCTGAATCTTCAAGGTAGGAGAAACCAGGGAGGAAAGGGCACATGATTTCAGAAAAGCTACAAGGAGTTGAAAGGAATGAGGTATGTATGAAGCATCTAAAACAAGCTAGAAAGAAACTCAAACATATCACAGCAACCCTACAATATATAGATCAGAAAGAAAAACAAAGACCAGAAATTGAATCATAGAAATCTTTTAACCATACTGATGTTGTAGTTTCGACTAGCAAGAAAGGGAACTGCATCTGTAAAATAGACAGGAATCTGACAACATGAACCACACAAGCTCCAGCTTCCTACTTATTATCTTTAGGAACCCTTGTGCCAAACCTTTGCAATAAAAATCTCAAGACAATTCTAGTCCTCAATAAAATGAAATTGTAGAGATGACTTGAAACTAGATCAACCACCTAAACCTCCATTTTGGCCTTCTTTTTAAATACCTCCTCAGAGTCTACCTTCTCTTGCTGATGTTCACTTTCAATAATTTTTAGAGCATCTCTTGCCTTTGTTCTGAGCCTTTGAGATTCAGAATTGTGTTCAAGAAATTCAAGAAAAGCTACAAGAACAGTAGAGGGTTCACAAGTAGCTGTGATTGGTAAAAATCTCTTCATGAGCTTTTCCAAGTCATTATCTTTGGTTTTATCCATAATCAAAAATGCAAGAAAACTATAGGGTTTCCATGAACCTGGGTGGAACTGAATATCAAAGTGAAAGGGCATATCTGTTTTTTGGTAATTTAAGGATGAGAATTTTAACTTGGACAATTGAGAGTTTCAAAGAAACCATTACTCACAGGTTGACCAGAATCCTAAAACTTTCCTAATATCTTCAACCTCATAAGCCCAATAAGAAGAGATACCATAGCTATATTCTGATTGGTACATCTCAAATTTGTTCAATGAGCTGGGAACCCAACATAAACACATCCTGATCAGCCTTCTATTTTGGATGATTCAAGGAGATTTGAAATTTGGACCCACTGTTTGCTTGAAGACTGGATAATATCAACTGCTTCCTTTGCAAGAGCTTGAAAACGTTCACCCTCCCAATTTACAAGACATTGTGCTCTATCATCTCTATTATATGATGTTATCAGACTGGCCTGGATTGCTTGGGTCTCAAGTAGTGCCTTTATGGGACCTTTCACTTGTATGTATACAAGCATGTCTGTCATGGGAATTTGATGTATGTAAGTTCAATTATACATATGAAGTGAAAACATAATGACTCACGTGAAGCCCAGTTTTTATACAAAACCACCTCTTCATCAGGAGACCACTTTTTCTCAAAGTTGATTGCATATTCCCCCAGCTTTTCTTGCTTGTCTCTTGTGAAGATATCTATTGCTTCTTCTTTCTTGATGTAAACCCTAGTAGAAATGAACAATCAGAATGATACTTAAAAGGTGAAGTTTGTATTCATAGCTTGTGAAGACATACACTCTTCTTCCAAGTAGGACAACATGCTCTTTCATTCTCTTTGCATATCTGTATAATACATGTTCAAATATACCATTCATCTTAATTTTATCATCAAATCCTGATGGAATGTTCTTTTGCTCCTTTAACACAGCAAAAAAAGTGATCTGAAGACATGGTGTTGGCATAAAATCTGCAATTGCAAAGATGAAGGCCCAAAAATTTTTGATCTTCTCTGATGGTTTGGTGTTGAGTATATCAAGGATGTATTGAGGCCAATAGTGCTTATCTGATTGCAACATTTCGTTCATCAGCTGGAGGGAATCTACACCAGGTGATCCTGTGTTGTGGTTTGATCAGTTTTTGTCTGCTATGTGGGTGTTTTTTCTAATTAAACTATGGCTTACGATCATCAAGATGAGGAGGGCAGGTGAAGAAGGGATCAGAATTCTTCCTGTCCTTCAGTGGCCTCTTCAGATATTCTACAAGATAATCTCTTGCTTGTAGTTCTCTTGGCTTACGAGGTCCATACCACACTTTATGATAATCTGAGTGTATGGACAGAAGTGCAAAACCAGGAAAAATTTCATTAATTCCCCCCAAACATACCCATATGGTTATTCAACAGGTAGATACTCACCTATTCCAGACAAAGCTTCTGACTCTCCCAAGTCAAAGAAATCTTTGATTGCTTCTGATTCAAAGTAGGTCTCGGAATCAAGATAATCAAATTCTTTGGATTCTTCCAAGTTGAAGTTTGGCATGCCAGAGGTCATGGTAAACAATAGAAACCATGGAACCAGTGCAACAAGAGTATATGTGGCTATCAGTTTCTTTATTGAGCCCTGAGGCTGCATCATCATGTTCAAAATCTTGAAATCTGCTTTGGAGCAGGTGGTAAGTTGAAAAAACAAAGTTGAATGAGTATGTTGGATGTAGGGTAAGATTCTGAGATGTGGAAATTTTGTGCTAACTATGTAATCTACTGATGTCTCTTGCGATTTGTGTTGAGAGATTTGAGCCTCCCTCAAAGAAGAGCTGTGAAGTAGTCAAAGCACCATATCATTACAAGTCACATGTCTTGAATTCACTTCCACATGTTTGACCCAGAATTGTTACAAAACAATTAAATAATCTGAAACAGATGCTCAAGATACAAGGAAACAGGTATTCAATTATTTACCAAATCTGGAAGCAAGTATTGTAGGTGGTACCAAAGCTTGTGTCTGCTGGTTGAATTGATCTGCTTGCTGTAAAAATGGGCAAAAGATCTAAGCCCCTGCTGGGCAAATTGAGTTTATCACTCACCAATCACTGCATGGCAAATTTGGGATGCATACAGCCTTTAAATCTTGTGAAAGAGTTCAGTTGACTCCTTGGACACAAAGCCAAAACTGATTGGAGTTGACTGGATTCTTTGAGACTGCAATTTCCAAGGTTGAGGGCAGGTTCAGCCACTTATGATAGATTCATCCAAACCACCCTTGTGGTGTTTTGTGTGGCTTAGCCTTCACTCCACAGTGTAGGAGTTCTCAGCTGCAAATGAAATGTAAATTACTCCATTTGTTCTTGGAAAACAGTCTCTGAAGCTGTCTCTTGATCTTTCACAATAACTGTGCACCATAACACATACACCAACATTCAACAATTGTAATTATACATTCAAATTCTAAAAGTGTTTCCTCAATTCAAACTCTTAGAAACCATGTATGTCTTGTGATAAGATTCCACTGGTCAGCTTGAGGTGTAGGATACCAAGTTCTTACATCTTTCATATTTTTTAAAAAAAACATGAAATCTTAAAAGATCACAATTTTCTACCTTTCCACTGTTTGCTTCATGTGCCTAGGGGTAGGGTAGGATTTGTGGGATGGGTTTTGTCATGCCAATTTTGTGATACCAATTACTCCTATCGACTTGAGCAAACCCTTGCTGAACCTGTTTCTTAACCTTTCCCAAATACTGTGTACCATGACATATATACTAACATTCACCAATCAGAGAAATATAATATGATTCTGTAAGTGTTTGCTCAATTGATACCCTCTATCCATAAGTTGACAAGAGAACCTATGTATGGTTTATGATGCAATTCCACTTGTTAGCTTGTGAGAACTCATGAGCAAGTGCATTTTCTATGTTGAAGGACTTCACTGTTGGGCAAAGCAAATGCATGTGGTACGCAGTGGTGAAGTATGTAGATGAGAGCTTTGATGACCATGATACCCAAGCTTCTTAAAGTCACTCTCTCAAAGTAAACCTCACCAGATTCTACATATAGAGGGAGTGCAAGGATCCATGAACACCTTCCTGATACTGTCTACAACTTTAAATGTGCCTTGGAGATTGTTGCCTCAGGATTAAATTTACACCCATTTTGAAAACTGCAATAAGGGGTTTCAAGTTTAAATCTTTTATACGGGTTTTTAAAAATTCGGTCAAGTTTTATACGACACTGTAACTTTTTAAGCAGAATATCCTGAGATGGTTTGTCAGCCTGAGCCCCGGACCAGCCCCCCAATCGGGGACCCGACGGGGTCCCCGATAGGTCCGGGATTTGGGCGGAGGTTCTAGAACCCCCGATGATCGGGGATCCCCGCGAGTCGGGTGTCGGGCGTAGAAATCGAAAAAAATACTATCCGCCGGGTACCCGACGAGTAAAAAAAGTAGTTAAAACACTCCATCACAGGTAAAAACTACCTAGTCCATTCTCAGGGGAGGCCCTACCAAGCACATGGGAACCTTGCCAGCACTGCCATGGCTGTGATGTGAGGCCCTGAGTGTAATTTAAACATCAAGTGGACACTTTTTTTCGACCTATTTGGCATCAATATCGATAAATGACCCGGTCCGGTGTTCAAACCTGGGTGAGGGACCCTTTTTGGTCCAGCCAACGAGTCCCCGGCGGGGAACCCGGTCGGGGTTTGGGCAGACAATTTTTCAAAAAAAACTCGTTCGGGGACCCCCGAACGGGCTTGGGAGGTCTCTCTACCCCGCGGTTCGGGGGCTGGGCGAGCCACTACTCGACGGGTAGCTAACGGGGCTCGGGCTGAATGGTTTGGTTTTTATCAAGGATCCCGGTTCAAGCTGTGGGCGCCAGGGTGAGTGCGCCGCACAGGGGTGCGGGCGCACCCTGCGACGCACCTCTCGCACCTGAGAAGCTAAAAAAGGGGGGGGGCGAGGGGTGCGACAGGGCTGAGCTGCAAGGGATCTTGAGGCTGCCCAGTGACAACAGGCAGAATTTTTTTCTTCAGCTCCCTCTCACATACTTCAATGTCCGGTCCAAACAGCTCCAAGTGGATTCTGCCCAACTCCAAACAAGGGCCTCGATGGCAAGGTTTTCTTACAACAGCACTCCGAGACGATAAGAGCAAGCGACGAGAGGCAAAGTGCACATACTGCAAGGAAGAATGGTACAATGGAAAACCCCACAAATTATTTGCTCACGTAAAAGATTCTTGTCCAAAGATGACTGCTCAACAGAAATCAAGTTACCTTCAGCAAGTTGTTGACAAGCACGACACACAGCATTCAGACTCATCTCCAGAGGATCACAGCCAAACTCATACTTCAAAACGGTCAATTGATGATGAATGTTTGGTTGTAAACATTGCCTCAAAAAAAAAAAAGAACGACAATCAAGGCACGCTTCATCACTTCACGCCAATGTCAAAATCAACCACCGAGAAACTTCACGAGCTGTTACTCAAAGCCATAATCTCTGGACACATTCCGTTTTCATTTCTTCAAAACCGTTTTTTCATCAAATACCAACAAACTCTTTCCCGAACCCCTTACACAGTCCCCACCCGTTACTCAATGTGTGATTCTACTCTTCCTATTTTACACGCCAAAAACGAGCTCCGTGTTAGTGAGCTCTTAGAAGACACAAAGTTTCTTACAATCTCTCTCGATGGCTGGACTGATTGTTCCAAGTCAAGTATCTACGCTACCTTAGTTCTCAAAGGTACTGAGATCAAGGAATTCATTGATGTTCTTGATCTTCATCATAAACGACACACATCAGCAAACACTCATGCCGCATTGGACAAAGTACTTGAAAAGAAGGCCCTTGATTGGTCCCAAGTTTGTGCTGTGGTCACAGACTCGCCTAGTCCAATGATTTCCTTACGAGTAAGTCTTGTATCTGTGTTTTTTTAGATAGGTACTGATTGTCTTCTTTAGAAAAACATCACATTACAGCATCCACATGTCATTGGAATCAATTGTTGTTTACACGTATTCAACCTTATTGCCAAAGATATACTGTCACATCCAACAATGACCGACGTCGTCTCAGCAAACAAAAACTTGGTCAATTTCTTTACAAAATCACATTTTTGGTCCGACTTCCTTGAAGATTGGCGAAAAGAAAACAAAATTGGACATGGTCTCATGACTGCATGCGAGACTCGCTGGTATTGGATGGCAAAAGTCTGCATCAGTGTATCCGAACATGAGGGTGGGTTCAAGAAAGCAATCAAAGCCGATGATGACCCTTTGTTTGATTCACCCAAAATCAATGCAAATGTCCAATCAATAATCTCTGATCGCGACCATTTCACGGGAAACCAAGCTCTCATAATTGTTTTAAGATCAGTGGTTGATGCCATCGGTCGATTGGAACATGCCAACACAACTCTTGCCGACATCTGGAAAGAAGTTCTGCACGTCTATTGTGCTCTATCAAAGATCGACGTCTACAGTCGATATCTTCCATTCAAAAGATATTCCGAAAGTGTCCTACACCTGCGAAGCAAAGTCTTCAATGAAGACATCTACTTTATAGCCTTCTTTTTGAATCCCTCGTTTCGGACTACTGCTGTATCTCGCCGGTTTGACCTTTGCAAGATGAATTGGATGATATGTAACCTTGCTAATCGATGGGGATTCTCTGCAAGGGAAGGTTACACAATAAAGGATGAAGTTATTAGGTTCTATAACTCTCAGTCGCCATTTCAGTCGGACACTAATAGTAAGTCCCTTTATAGTTTCTTGAGACCTCTATACCTACATGACTCATCTGACATTTGCTTGAGTCGATCTAGGCTCTCAGCCCCTTACTTATTGGCTCAGTCTACCGGTTTCAGCCAATCAAAGCCCTCTCAAGAGACTCGCGATTTCTGTTCTCCAAGTAGTTCCACATGCAGCTGGTGTTGAAAGTCTTTTTTCGGATATGGGGGCCACGAAAACGAAGCGCCGTAGTAGCATGAAGACCAACACTCTAAAAATGTCTTCACAGGTCCGGATGCATCTCTTATCACAGGATCCTAACAAAAGATACACCTCTCAGAACAAAAAACAAGCTTTGAAAAGCGATCTCGATACTGAAGAAGCTCTCGCTGAGCAAGAATTGGGCCTGGCCGAAGAATTGGAATATTTTGAAGAAGGTGTATTCGCTCATCTGGACCCTATCGATCCCAGTCTTTATGTAGACGAAACTGGATTCATCACTTCTATCTTTGATTTCCGAGTATTTGAGAAAAGTTGTTCATCTAGTCTGGCTCAAGAGTCGCATGTTATGGATGTTCCAGACAGTCCTGGAGTGGCCTGGAGTGCCGATGATCTCTTCAAATGATTTCCTACAACATTTCAACTTATCCTGTCTAATCAAAGTTTTCTCCATATAAATGTAAAAGATTTATATGATGAAATATATGTTTTCCGCTGCTTTTATCTAAAACAAAGCGAATCGAGACAAGGGTGCGTAGCACCGCCGCACACGGGTGCGAGGCAAATTTTTTTGGTGAAAACAGGCGCACAGGTGCGCCTGACTTTTCAAAACACGCGCCCACAGCTTGAATCCCGGTATCCCCACCACCCCCCCTTGGTAGCCCCACCACCCCCTCCCTTTCACAGCTAGTGAAGCCTTACTTACCATTGTTACAAGCTGTGACAATTGTCCAGCCACACTGAAAGGTCCCTGGATTTTGTTTTCTCAAGTTTGCTCGGTATAAATAGCACTTAAAACAATTTTAAAGCACACATCAGCTAATCAACCTTCCCAAAAGCATTTAGCTTCTACTGGTTCACTACCTCCTCATGAATCAAAAAATTTGATACCAACTTCTAGAGAATTTGATGCGACTACTAGTTTGGGTTACTAATTTCCTTGGTCTTGGATTGGTCGTGCATATGAAGATTTTTAAGATTTGCATCATGCTGTGGGTCTTCAAATGTATCACTTGAGTTCGGGCCTCTTACTTCAGTAGGATTCTTTTAACTTTGTTTACAACTTTCTGTCCTTTGTCTCTGATAGCTCTTTTTAGCTGGCACAGTTGATGACACTCTAAAAAAATCGATCGTTCTGGTACATCGATTTTGAATTGGTCTGACTCACTGATCTTCAATCTTGGTTTTCAATCGGTCGTCTTTTTCAATTGGTCGGAGTAATATTGATTCAAGTCATCCAGTTATTCATATTCAATACTTGATTCTAATTGAATGATGGAATCGCTGAGCCAAGAGGATCTTTGGTGAGCAAACTTGAGAAAACAAAATCCAGGGACCTTTCAGTGTGGCTGGACAATTGTCACAGCTTGTGTCACTGGTAAGTAAGGCTTTCACTAGCTGTGAAAGGGAGGGGGTGGTGGGGATACCGGGATCCTTTATCAAAGGCTTGGGAATCAATCTGAAGATTGAAGTACAGAATGAAAATGTATGACGTCAATTGATGTGAATTGAGTGAAACTGAGAGAATGAAACTGTCACCATTAACAACTGACCTTAAAATTTCAACCTTTTCGAAAGTTTTAAATTCACAAACTTTAAATTTCTCAAAGAAACCCATTGAATTTGCTGAGCTTTGAACTTCACCAACACTTTTCATCATCATGTCTACTTCAATGACACCAACTTCATCAACTTCATCAACTTCATCATCTCAATCAACAACCAAATCAAAATCGAACAAACCAACTCCACCTAAACTCAATACGAATCTCAAACGTAAATCAAGTATCAAAAACCGAAATGAAAAATTTGTAGAATCAAATGCTTGGACAATTGGTTTTATCATTAGTTTTTTCGTTATCTTGTTTTCTAAAGAGATTTCAAACATATATAATGCGAATAATGAAGATTATCAATTATTGAAAACTTCTATGAATTCAACTCCTAAACTTTCATCTTGGAAAATTACAAAATTAGATCATCAAGACAGAGGTTATGGATTGATTGCTACTCGTCAAATCTTACCAGGTTTGAAACCCTTTTTTAACTCTAGATTTCCTAAACTCATTTCCAAATCATAATCAAACTGAATTTAACTTTTTTTTTCTTCAAATCGTTCAAATCGATGTTTTTGTATATAGGTGAATTACTTTTAAAAGAAAAACCGATATTTAAATTAAATTCAAAAATCAGATCGATTGAAGATTACGAAACCAATTTAAATTCGATTTTAAAAAAACTAGATGGTGAAGATCGGAATCGATTCTTAAGTTTATCAAACCCATGGCAAAATCAATCATTATCTAATATTTCAAATTATATTAGAATCTTACAAGTTGAGCATTGATCCATATAAACCAAAACCACTTGAAACCCCACTAAGCTGATCTTTCTTTTTGGTTTGGGTTAGACAAATGCGATTAGTATCGGTTCAAATCAATTAGCTATCTTTCCTAGTCTTTCTCGTATCAATCATGGATGTGCTGGCGCATCTAATTCAGTTTATAATTGGAGAGAAAAAGAAGGAGTCGAAGTGGTTCATGCTACCAAACTGATCGAAGTAGGTGAAGAGATTTTAATTTCTTATTGGGATTCTAAACGTTCACGTTCAGATCGACAGTTGAGCCATTTCTTACCTTCATCTCTATGTCTTTTGACAATCTTACTAAACTTTATCAACTATCCTTTTGCGGTGGGTTTTTTTCTTCTTCTATAGAGATTATTTGAAATCAAATTATGGATTCCAATGTACTTGTCAAACTTGTAGTTTAACTGAAGAAGAAAGTATTCAATCAGATCAAAGGTTTTTAAAAATTAATCAATTAAAAGCAAAACTTTCAGATTGGTCAAATCGATTGATTGGAGGATTTGAAGCGGTTCGGCTTATTGAAGAAGCGGTTCAACTGATGAAACTTCAAAATATGACATTTGAGTTGAGTTTTTTTTTTCGGATTGGATTTGTCTTGATTTTGTAATTGACTCTTGAGTTTTTTTCTTTTGATTTGATTTGATTTTTAGATTCGGTCAATTATATGCTGATGCTGCTCATATTGCAAGTGCACACTCAGAGTTGAGTTCTTTTTTTTACTCACTTCAAATTTCATAATCTTAAATTCAAGAGATCATAATTAGAGATTAACTTCAACCCCGTATTTTTTTGGGAGGGAATTTACTTTAGTTTTCAAAGTGTTAAACATTTTGCAAACTTAGCTCAAGATCATTTTAAAATCGAATTAGGTTCAGATTCAATTGAAGTTTTGATTTCCAAGAAATTAATTAAAAATCCAACTTCTTTAAATTGGTCAAATCGTCAACCTGAACGAGTTAAAGTTTTATAAACAAACACTAAATCAATCAACCCAAACCAAACCAAAATAAAACCATTTCTCCAAATCTTTGTACAAAAAAAATTAAAGACATTACCAGACCGAAAATCAAAAAGGTTGTACATCAAGCAAATCAATCTTTATGATCATATCCTGTTTTATATAGACTATACTTTTACATTTTTTGGAGTTTGTAGAATTAAATGCCTTAGTCCTCTGGATCGTTGATCTTTACTTTGTTTTTGTTGTGATTCCATTTTCAGGATAGAATTTTAAAAGAATTGACTTTCGATTTTTCCACCAATACTTGTCACCTCTTATGGGTCACAAACTAAAGTATGTATATACAATAGAGTGTCTGCAGGTTGAATCGACTTTTATTGGTGTTGAGTGTTCACTCTCAGTGCATGTGAGGGATTTTGTCTTACTGTGCAAACCAAACCTTCCAACTCTAGAGCCAGTATGACACAACAGCTTTTTGATAGGCAATTGCTCAAAGTTACATATGTACAATAGCAGAACATGGCGCTTCATGTTGCGGTCGAATTCAAATCTTCCCCCACACAGACCCACATGAGCCCACATGCCCATGTCCTGGAGGCTGGCTGCACATCTATTGGGCTGATCTTACACAGGCAGATCATTTAAGAACATGCATCTAAGATCAGAAATACTGAATTGCCAAATGAAGGAGTGGTGTGACAAGCACATTTAGCAGTGCAAAGTTTTAGTCGAGGCGAGCTCCAAGTTTCACATTCGAAGTTTCCAAAAGTGACAATACCTACATCATCAATCTTCGCTTGATCATATGTTGTCACACCTGCAATCAAACCAATATCACCAAGAGTTATCAAAATCATCAAAGTCACCGATGACATAGATAGACTACGAGGGACTCATTATAGCAATCCTCACTTGAGCCATCAAGAAAGACCGGGAGGTATGGAGAGAGACCTTGAACTCTTAAAACAGCCTTAGACAAAATGGGGTTTTAGAAGAGTACAGGTTCAACTGATGACTGGATAACAATGACTTGAATAACAAACAAGCAAATCTTTTTCTTATTTTTTTCTCCTTTTTTTGTATTTCTGTCCTTCCCTTCTTCAAGTTGCAATCACTTCTCCTGCACTTTCGGCTTGAGGACAATCTCTTGCAATATGACCAGCTGATTGACATCGATAACAAGTCTTGGGACGATGATTGTATCCTGAATTCACATTTGCTGTGAAGGTAGCCATGCAGTCTCTACAGTATAAAACGGAAATTCCCCGAGGAGAGTGAGCAGATGAGCGCGTCAAATTGAGCATTCAAAATTCTCAAACCTTGCATAATGATTCATCCCTTGACATTTGTAACATTGAATCACCTGTCCGGGTGCAAGTCTTGGTTTTGAGTAATTGGAACGTTGAGCATGGTAGTTGTTTCCAGCTTGGTTACACATACGACTGATATGACCCACTTTGAAAGACAGAGAGGAAACGCACAAACGCGTAAAAGCGTCTTGTCAGCAATCTACTCAGTGATCGATCAAGACCACAAGCTTGAAAACTCACTTCGACCACAGGTGTAACACTTTTGACCTCCTGATTGAAAGCCTTGTCCTCCTACTTTCACACTTGGACAGTCAACAGCCAGATGACCGATGCCGCTGCATTGGTAGCATTGCTTAGCATCAGCCGTGCGTGGGTTAGGGCATGCAGCTGATTCCTACGAGTACAATCAGGCCGTTTGATCGAGTTTTGCAAAGATTAGTTTGAAATGTTGTTTGAATAGTGGGACGAGATAGGCTGATAAGGGGAAAGAACTTACATGACCGGGTTGCTTACAGTTGAAGCACAATCGAGCTTCCGCGGTACATTGTTCAGCCAAGTGACCAATAGCTCCGCCTAAAGTTTTCGAAGAGAATCGAGATAAACAAACATAAGGTGAGTTTTTGGGACAAGAAAGTAAAGAGTTGAATGCCAAATGCTTACACTTGAAGCAACCTTTCCGACTCTGACCACCGAACATCTCTCGCTTGAGATCTTATACAACTGGCTGATAGGAAGACAAACCCAAACAGTTTCCCAAAATGAGAAAAGGTATTGAAAGTGTAAGAGTCAACAATGAAAGTCAATGAACAAACTGGTTTGATTTGATTTTGGGTGACTTACATAGGTATTACTAGATTTCACTACACACCTCTGAACGCTTCCTTTTGCCCACCGAGAATGAAAAAAGGAAAGAAGATATCAAATTATCAAAAATGTGATATCAATGAATGGGGTCGATCGATTCGGTGAGGTGGTAATCAAGGGTCAACAAGATTTAAACTCAGAAATTAGGGATTACAGGATACCCGGTCCGACCCGATGTAGCGGACTTCAGAGCTCCTCAGAGTGTACAATGGATGATATCATCATTCATCGTTCATCTCTGCATGGCGAATGTCACTCAATTCACTCCAAATCACTCTACATATTTATCAACGTGGCTATACGTGGAGTCTCATAGAGTACGTGGATCGAAAAGTCTTGAAATAGCTCGTAATTATAAGTTTGGGTTTGGAATTTTCAACACAAAACACAAAGACAAAATCACAAGGTTAAGATTGACTTTCATTATTTGAATTTGCCTCACACAACTTCTTTTTTAGAATCACTTTCTCCACAATTGAAGGTCAGTAAAGACCCCAATTTATTAAGCAGAACATGTGCCATACATATACAGTTGTTTTCGACAAGCTCGTCATCAATTTAAATGCCAAATTACTCCAGTTTTGCTGGCAAATTTGGACAAACTTTTTGACAAGGACTGTAAAACATATCTTTTGGTTTATGGACGACGTGAAGATGCCAATCTAGATGATCCCCACAAAGGCAGAGGGTCCTCAAAAAATTACAATTCAAGTATTAATTGTCTTAGGTTCATTTTGGGAGATGATGTGAGCCAACCCCGAAACCTTTGAGGTATAGGAAAGTAGATCAAGAGTGACTGTGAGGAAGTCACAAATCTTCTACAGTCAAACCCGCGCACATGCATACCCGCGCACATGCATAACCAGCCAAAATGCATAAGTTTTGGCTTCCACCCAGCTGGTGCGGGCAATTTTTTTTGTTAATTACATAATTATGGCAAAAACCATAATGCATAGGTTTTTTTAGATCCCCAAGGTCATAATGCATACATGGAAAGTGGGCTGGGAAGAAAATTTTCTTCCTGCAAGCCTTCTTTGATACAATTTTAGCGATGTCAGACAGCAATGAGCCCTCTCTGGGTGTTGAACCCCTTCAATTCAACACAGAGAATCCTATTCATGCCACTCGCATTGGCAACATAATATTTCTTGCACCATCCGACCTCAAGCCCTCTCAATTCCCATCACATTTACAATTTGAAGAGCATGATTTACATCTACTCGAGAAAGGGCTCAAAGACCTCAAAGAAGAAACTCAAACACGTCTTGATGAACTTAAATCAAATCAAAAGAACGGACAAACTCTCTCTCAGGAAGAACAAGACTGGTTTGATGATGGGGGAAACTTGATTAATGAACACCTTATAGTAGATATACTTTTATGTCTAGATGAATTCAAGCCCTTATCACTTGGGTGTCATGAGTTCAAAGCAATACAATCTATCATCTCGTGTTATCCATCAACTCTTTCCAATGACTCAAAAATTAAGATGGATAGAAAGAAAGAAGCTAAACGAACGACATCTAACAATCTCGATTCTCTCGATCACGGACGTGGAAAGAAGGCTCGTTCCTGCTTATCAAAACCAGTCCAATCAAACAGAACTCGCCGTAAATCTGGGGTCACCAAACAAACTCTGACTTATAACCAACGTGTTGAGGTCCTTAATTGGTACCACAAAAATGGTGAAAGTCAAACAGGGACTGTCCGACACTTCTCTAAAATATATCCGGACTTGGGAATCAGTCAACCTAATATCAGTCGATGGATCAAAGAAGAAGCATCAATTCGAGACACTGCTGGTACTGTTAGTAGCCAAACTAAGCGCAAATCTGAGCTCAAATATCCACAAATTGAAACACTTCTGGTTAATTACATACGTGAATGTGAAAAGAGTGGTCAATTTATTACCGGCGATCAAATCAAAGAGAAATGGAACCACTTTGCTCGACTCGAAAAGCTCCCAAGCAAGGACTGGCTGAACTTGAGTGGTGGATGGCTTGACGCATTCAAATCACGTCACAACCTTCGTGAGATCAAAAAACATGGTGAAGCCGCATCAGCCAGTCCTGAGGTAGTGGCAGCTGAGAGGGCTCGAATGTGTAAGATCACTGCCGAGTACAAACAGTGTGATGTCTATAACATGGATGAAACAGGTTTGTTTTACGCGTAAGTCTTATTTCCATCGTTCTCCTGCTTCTTTCTCCTGCACCTCTTGTTTCTGACTGTTTCTTTGTGTGTTTCAGGATGCCCCCTGATCGAGGTTTAGCCAGTCAGAGTTCGCCAGGTGTCAAAGGATCCAAAGCACGTATAACTGTTGTCTGTACTACCAATGCCGATGGATCAGACAATCGTTTTCTGACATTTATCAGTCGATGGAAATCCCCACGCTGCTTCAATAAAAAGACACCATCCGAGCTTGGAATAGATTACTACAACAACACAACCTCTTGGATGACTTCAACAATCTTTGAGTTGTGGATCTCAAAGTGGGATCGAGACTTACGAGCCAAAGGGAGGAAGATCTTACTCTTACTTGACAATTTTGCTGGTCATACTGTGCCGCCAAATCTCCTCACCAACATTAAGCTCGAGTTCTTTCGACCAAATCTCACAGCTCACGTTCAGCCACTCGATGCTGGCATTATCCACGCATTCAAATGCCATTATCGCAAACGATTCCTCACACGTACTCTCCGACGCCTTGACAACAATGAGACTGTAAATAAAGTGTATGAAATTGATGTTCTTGCTGCTTGTCGTTTGGCCAAGTTAGCTTGGCATTCCGTCACCGGAAAGACCATTCAGCACTGCTGGGGCCACTTGGGAATCATTGCATTCAAGGATAGCAACATGCAAGTCCCTCTCTATTCTCTCTAGCTTGCTTTTCCTGTTTTTGAAGTTTACAGTTTTCTTATACTTTTCCCTCTTTATCTTACTTGTAGGCTTCCTGCCTTCAATCCAGCCAACCTACCCATTACAGAGGACTTAGATCTTGAAGACGATTTGCAACGCCTTCAAGATTCGGGCTTGCTCTCATCCAGGAATCGAATGTCGATATCCGAGCTTTTGAACCCCGAAGATGAAACACCATCATTTTCAAACTTACCAACTGCTGAGGAGATTCACGGACAGGCTCATGTCTCCCAAGACGACTCTGAAGATAACACGATCGAAAGCGAACCGATTCCTACCACTGCCGAGGCAATAAAATACCTCAACGGTCTTGTCGCTCACATCGAAGGAACTGCGACTCCTCTCGGTCTCAAACTTGATCAGCTCTTGCAACAATACAGTCGCCAGCTGAAGTCCGACGAGTTTTTTTCTTTCAATAAACAGCCATCGATCATAGATTTTTTCAAAAAACTCCCTAATCCCGACTCGGAGATGACATTTGAGTCTTAACTGAACTCTGTCCCTTATACTACAATCAATTTCCCTTCTATATACAATTATAAGATACAGTGTTGTCTTTCCTTTACTCAGACAAAAGAAGTCTTGTGTTTTGTACCCGTGCAAAATGAAAACATACTATCACATAGAGTTATACTTTTTGAATGAAAACCCGCCACAATGCATATCTTTATGCATTTAGGCCTAAATACATAGAATTATGCATTATGGAGGTTTGGGCCCATTTGTATAACCCGCGATAATGCATACCAAAAATCGTCTCCCCAAATTATGCATTAGCGCGGGTTTGACTGTATCTGGCTGTTCAAGATGAAGGAATTTCATACCCACAAACTGATATACTTCATGAGTACAGGAGTTGTGCCAAAGAAGAATCATACTTTGAAATTCACAAAGTAGCATGTGATATGTCCCATAAGTCAAGCTCACTTTTCTTGGTTGACAAGAGCAGTGAATTGTCTGTGTGCCATATTACCGGTGATTCTCTTTTTACAAATTCCAACAAACTTTACCCCTTGTCTCTCTGATTTAACCTTGAGTATATATCGACGTGGTCAACATTGGCAGGCTGAACGATGTCTTTCAGGTTACTTTTCACTGGGCAGTCAGTCACCATGCTGGAATTGGACTGAAGAAAGCTTTGTGCAAATCTTCCTACTGAGCTCACAAAACAGAGCAAATGGTGCAAGCACACTATATGTTGACATGTCAAGTACAATATAAACACAGAAACAAAGAAAAAAGGACTCCGTTCTTACAATTTCTTCATGACATCAAAGATATCTAACCCATTAGCCATATCATGATGCCAGCTACAAAATAATATCGCCCGTAGTATAAAGTGATGAATGGTACCAAATTTCGGGAATCCGCTTCTTCAATCGTCACCCTGAGGAACTTCATCCTCTAGATATTTGATCAATCGCACTCGCATCTCTGTTGTCTCATCACCTCTTAATGTATCAGATACAAACTTGGCCTCGACGGACATTCCAACCTAAAAATGGTAAGCCAAACATAGGACAATTGTGATAAGTTTGGTAAGGCCCGGGGAATCATATGATCTGAGGAAGATATGAATCTGACCATTTCCAATGCTCCCCGAATCACCCCACATAGAACTTGACTATACCATAAGCCACCCACTGAGTTGGAATCACCTGCTTTCAATTGGGCTCCTAAGGCGTCCTCTGGAAGCTCTACGTATTCTGCCAAAATGTTCTCATCGAAATGTAAAGTGAATTCTTTGAGTCCACTCGTGACTTGAGGATTGTGTGTTACATTGGGTGAATAACCGATAAAGGTCTTGAAGGCTACTTTTGAAGTTACTTCGCCTACATCACGGAAAGTTGAACATCTGGGAAGTGAAGATCTTGCTAAAAAATCTTCGATCAGTCTTGTTCCAATGTTATAGCCCCTGTGTGTATGTAACACCAAAAAAAAGATCAAAACATATCAGACTCTGTCATTTCATTTCACAAACAGGGAAGCTTTGAGAGAGAGATTTCAAAGGAAGTTTAATCGAAAGGATAGAAGAAAGTGTGGAAAATCCACATTTTATCGAGTTGTTGATTGACCTGAGCGTAATCCTCATAATCTTTGACGAGTTGAACGACTAAAGCTCCGTAAGTTAAAGCAAAGAATTCTCCATTGATCTTTTCAGCTCGTTTCCATAACTCTTCTCCTTGATTTAATAGCTTCTTGGTATCCATTCTTCTCTTTTATTGGTTTTGGCGTGTTCTTAAATCTAATGTTTGAGTAGTTTTGCTGAATGTGATCGATTTGTAGGAAGGAGAAATCGATTAGTTTTCACTTTGAACCGATTGTTGAGTCACGTCGACCCGATCAGACCAATCCGACCCGCACCAAGACACAAGTGCTTCGTAGCCAGCATGTCCAGACTCCAATGGCTCGCGCTTCACAATCTATGGAAAAGGGATATTGGAAGGCACTGCATACCCTGTTTTGAGTTGAGCTTCATCATGCTTGCGTACAAGTCGCAAACAAATCCCACTTGAAATTTCTTGTAATAAGAGATCTTGAACTTTACCTATGCTGATGCCAATGATAATGGGCAAGACATATAGACATTGCCCGCATTTCAAACTTCATTATCAGTTCTCATGTTCCAATGTGGTGATTGGCTTTTGCAGTGTGCAGTCACGACCAGCTGCTGCATCTTTACCTCACGAAAGAAACCCAAAAAGTGGTGATACGTTACCATGATCGGCAAAGATAAACCTCGATCACAATTTGCGAAGTCCTTATTCCGAATTCACAAACGAAGACTTCTTCACTGGAGATAAGAATGCCAAAAGAGAGGAGCCCTAATTACTTCTGAATGAAAGTGACTTAAGCGAGAGGGGAAAAAAATAGGCGAACCAGCTCGAAAGCCGGTTCGTCCGTTCAAGAGATTGTGCATCGGCTTACATCATGGACATAAACCCATCAGCGGTTCTGAGTGAAGCGAAAGGGTCGCTGTGCCATGCGCAGACCCACTGATGACAGCCAGGCATCCTTGATCGCCCAAGACTGCGAACGCAAGGTAAGTATGAAGCGAGCCTTCACTTTACGGTATATATGCTCGTAAGGCGTGACTTGAGTTCAAACCGTTTAGAAGACAGCATTATGTCCACTCCTTGGTTTGATTGATAGTCAACAATTGTAGCTTCTACATCGCATGTATGAAGAAGAAATTTAGGCATCAGAGAAAACTAAACCCGATCCGCCAACGTCACCCCTTTCAAGCTCCTAAAATCAACATAGAGATACAAATACATTATAGGTCGGGACATCAGGGGGACAGGCACACACGTATTCATGAGAGTTTAAAATGTGACAGAACTGGATTCCCAAGAAGCGGGTTGAGGTTGAGTACAGCAGGAAGCAACAAGGACATCAAAGAGAAAACCACTATGATTTGATGTGGGTTATGATTTCGCGAGACTATCTCACTGCAGTGCAAGTCAGCAAAGAGGACTATGAATCCAGGTTAAAGAAAGAAAGAAAGAAAGGAGGGGCTCAAAACATGATGTCTTTATGGGGGTTGGGGCCAAGTTTGGCAATCAGATGTTCAATCTCATTTCTTAACTCGGCGCACATATAGTCTAATGGTAAGTCAGATGCATCCGTTCCGAATGGGTCTTCGCACTCTCTTGCTAAAGCCTCGATACCTAATCGATTCCGGATGGCGTAACACAAGGGCTGGTTAATAAGGGAAATATAAAGATCAGATAAGCTGCTAGATACACATACCCATCAGAGTGAATGCAACAATCGTCACAAAAGGGATCAACATCCAATTGAGATCTGTTGAATTTTTGTCACGTGTATCATCAGTCAAAGTGAACCTTGTTGCGCCTGATAAGATCCCAAGACAAACCTGATGCAAGAGTAAGCGGTAAAGCAAACAAGTATAAGGTTGTACATTGTTTGAGATGAATTCCATAACAAGCTGGTATTTTGACATCTGCGAGTGTCTCCATTTGACCAAAGAGATCAGTCATGGTCATAACGCCTTGTGTCAAACGGCCAAGTCCGGGTGGACCAATACATTCCAAGTACCCTTTTTGTTTACATCTTGCTGCGTATAGGTGCAATTGATGAGCAATAACTAAGGGGAGCGGCAAGGATGGCTTTGAAAGGTAATTATGCACAACCACCGCAGTTGAATCTTCGAGTCGGTGATCAGACGCTGACTTTCTGAGCAGTGGTGAGGTTTCTGACATAGAGTTTGACAAGTCTGCACCCTGCCATTCTTCTACCTGAGTGGCAAAGACTGAAGTCGGTCTGCGTCGAGGTCTACAGTCTCGAGGACCTGCGCGAGATGAGATGGCATAGGAGGGAACCTCGTTCGTCGAGCTGTTTGTCGTTCCAGGGTTGAGGCCTGGATCACCAGACATCTCAGGAGATTGGTCGGTTAACACGTCGGTATGAATCGGATTTTCAATATCTGCATCCGCCGCATCATATCCGAACCCAGGCGTATTGGCCTGCTGATAAAATTCAGGTGGAAGGACAGCTCTTAAATCTTCATAATCGATTCCATACTGTCCTCGGATGTGTCTTTTGACCGCGATGACAAAGGCGACCATAAGGCGAAGACATCTAGCTTTTGTCCGGACTTCGTCTGGAGTAAGTATATCGATATCCACGTCGTGACCAGGAGGAGGAGCCCCGATGGATATCCAGTAATCTCGGGCCAGATTGCGTACAAGAGATTGGAGGGAGGTGAAAGTTTTTCGACCTTCGTCCCATCTAGCGTAAGCTGTCGTGTTGCGGAACACCAGCATCAGACCAACGACAACTGATAGCAATGGTACAACCTGGTTAGACAAGTTGAAGTCCCTTCCATACACAAAATCCGCCACGGCTACCACTAATCAGGATTGAAGATGAAGCACGGGTGGTTAGTTATAATTATGATAGTGGTGTCAAATCAGAGTATGTAGCTTTAAAACGTACCAGTAGCCCATACTGTCACAATTATGACCGCTTTCCAAACGTTCAGGATAGTCTAGCATAGACCTCAGATGCATGAGTCCAAATACTTTGATGATGGGATACACGAGAGTGATTTGATCTTACAGAGCCTCGGAGCCTCAACACCTAGACGCTCAGTGGCCAGAGTGAGGAAGAAAAGCTTATCAGATTATTTGAAACAATCCACCATGACCCGAAAAGGAAGGTTAAGGTCGGCAAGTCACTGACGTCACCGAACCAAGCTACCTTGCCTCGCAACTTGAGCCTATCTGCATTATCTTCTTCAGCCAGAGCTAGAGCCCGCAAGGAGTCCAGCATCCGGGGGATAACCGAGGCTGCTGTGTTACCTCGCTCTGGTGGATTAGACGACATAATAACGATTCTGAAGATGGGAGATGCAGCACACGATTGGCTCGGAAACTTGAGCCACCCTTTTTGTGCAAAGAGTCTAACTTAACTAAGTCCCACAGTCAGACACTTGATCCTCGCAGGCTCGGGTGTCACTGTGGCAGGTAATACACCAGCCCGGCCCGTGAGACCCGGGGGTGGACCGGGGCCAGGACCGGACCAAGCAAGACTCAGCAAGGCTCGAGTAAAATCAGGCTGACCCGGTTCGGCCTGTCCATAAGAAAACAGGGAAAGTTTTGGTGAAATGATCCTGAATTTCTACAGAACATGATATCATGTCTTTAAGTAGTCAAATTTGTATAAGGTCTTCACAGGGGCAAAATCTCACATAGGGGTGAGCATATATCAATTTCCTGCTGATTTCTTTCCTTCTTCTTTCCAATTTTCTCTTTACTTGTCAGCTAAAAGAACAGATTCCTCATTGCTGACATGTAAGTTTTTCAAGAGACTGATTGTGTTGTTGCACTTGACAAAATCAAAGGGTTTTGGGAGCACTTTTGAGCTCAAGCTACCAGGATGAAAAGGAACCATAACAGGATATCTGCTGACAATGGTGTATGATTTCTCATTCCTCATTCTTCATCTTTATACAATCACCCAATAATTATATCTCTGTTGACCACAGTGTATCTTTGAAAAACAAGTGTGTGCCCCTGTGAAGCCAGACAGGCCTGGTGGATTAACCTTTGATGAGAAAATTGTGCAGATGTGCAGGGATTTTCCTAAGGCAAAGCAATGGCTTGAATGGTGAACAACATCAGATAGCAAGGGCATGCTATATACAATCAAGGCCAAATATGTATGATTAATGTCATTTCCCCTCCTACTGCCATAGACTTGGCTTCAGCAAAGTTTTTTGATTTCACCTAAATCAGATCAATTGGATACAGATGCTCGAACAGTTGGAATTCAAAAAATCAAACTATCAGCTACTGCATTTAATCCTGAATTAAGTCAAGATTCTACATTAATTTGAATCACACTATTAGAGCTTGACTCTTTTCAGATGAACAGAACATTGAACATCAAGCTGGAGTAGGTCTTTATGATGGGTGAGTCTGAGAGATGGGGAGTTTGTTTATTAAAGTGTATAAAAACCCAGACCACTAACTCTCAAGCTTTAAAACAATTTGGGAAGTAATTCAAAGTCCCAGAATGTAGCAAATTGGTCAACCTGCCAGGTTAGCCAATTTGACTGGTATACCTACAGGGCGCACACCCTTTTTGAAACAGTGTGTACCAAATGGCTCAAACCCAGGTGTACGCTTCAAACTGCCTCAAAGGGTACACATGAGCATTTGGCTGGGTGAACCAGCAAGATTGAGGGAAACCAAACGGGGCCTTATACCCCAGAATTTAATGTATCCAAAAGTCATGATTACCCCAAGAAAACATACATTCGTGTGGGTTATTGTTTATGGAGGAAAAGGTTTGTAATTGGGTGACCATGAAAGTCAACAATGGAGCATCTGTGGACTACATTTTCAAAATCTTTTTTCAAAACCTTTTTTATGGGTGTTCAAAAAAAAAGAATAGGGGCGCTCAGGTCAAGAAATTTTGCTGTGTTGAGCATAAAAAAATCCCAAATTCCTAAGAGCAGCAAATTTACGCAAATTTGCAGTAATAAGGAAACTTGAATGAACATAAAACAAAAAAAACCCAGACAAAAAACGCAAGGTGAAAAAGCAAAGAAAGGTGTCAAGACTGATACAATAAGTGACCAACACCCACAAAAGAAAAAACATTATGGATCACACTGGGCAAATGTAGTATTTTTCCCAAGTGAAAAATGATTGACCTGAAGGACAAACAAAATTGAAAAAGGTGGAATTCTGCATTCATTCTTCATGTGCATTAACACTGCATTTTTCTGCATTGATGCTGCATTTTTTTTCATTAATGGCGCATTAATGGTGCATTTTTATGCATTAACATAGCATTTTTAATCATTGTCAAGACTGATACAATAAGTGACCAACACCCACAAAAGAAAAAACATTATGGATCAATGGCTTCTCAAGAAGCTGTTGATTGCTGTTGACCATCTTATTTTACAAAATGGGAAATCTTTTTACAGCACAGTACTGTAAAAAGATTTCCCTGTTTTTTAAGGAATCATCTCTAAAATTTTGACCTGAGCCCCCCCTAATGCCTGTGGAAATTAATGTTTCACCAGGAGTATTTGTTTTTGCAAATGACACAATTTCCAAGCATCAATCATTGTAAATGGATGATTGCAAAATTCTATTATCCCATAACTTATGACAGGCAAAACTACGGGAACATTTTGTCATATGCCTTGTGATAAGTGGATTGCACTGGTAGGTTATACAAAGTCTGTTAGAGGCGCAAAAGGGCACTCATATTCTGATATCTCAATGACGGCTGCTCAGGGTTGCTTGTTGGTGTTACTGGTTTATCTTCTCAAGCTGAGTTTGGCTCGAGTTTAGAAAGTAACAAACACAAGTAAGGTTTTTGTAACTAGGAGTACATGCTCCATGTATCTCTCAGTCAAATTGTAAAATAAATATAATTAAAGTTCAAGGAATTGATCAAGAGATAGTATTCAAATAATCTACAAATACATCAAGACGGTATAAATCTAGTGAATATAAACTTGAAATATGCGAGGAGTATCATTGATATCTATAAGTATAAATTAGAAAAATGAGCTGTGCTGTTTACATCTTACCCTACTAATACAACATTTAACATCAATTAAATAGATTAAAATTACATGAATTTCTGATTTCTACTGTCAGTGAAAGGAGGTCTGTGTCCATGGAATAGGGTTTAACTTCATATTTGAATCTTTCCCACTTTTCTACATGCTTCAACAGTTCCTAAACCGCGATCTCGAGCGGCTTTGATGCCTTTAGGGAGACGTAAAATAGAAAATTAAGTTAGATTTCCATTCGGTGATGATTTGAAATATAGATTGATTTGCTAATGAATACCACTTACTTGGATTGGTGAGATCACAGATTGGAAGTGTGAACATACATTCATTGGTCAACAATGAAGAAATATTAGATTCTGTGCTGCAATGAAGTCATGATCTCAGTTTCGGTTGATAGAGTCGTACAAACTTCTGGGCATTCGATTATCTACTCACGCATTTTGCCAAGTAGTTGGCTCTACTACATCACCGTATTTCTGTTGACAGGCCCAAGCTGTGGTGGTGAGAAGCTCCGAAGAAAAATTGTATTTTGATAAGGCTCGATCACCACCGAAGATCTCCTTATTGGCTTTGTTTCCTTTGGCTTGGATTATGTTCATCATTCTGTAGGTTCAGCGAGTCAGTCATTTTTGATTTTAGGTGAAAGATGATTGCATCGGACTCACATTCCATCTGGACTACAATAAGATATAACGTTCTTGCCGGTCCAGGCACCATTTGGGCCATCACTATCACAAGGATCCTAAAGAAAGGAGAATCGACTCAGTACTTTAAAACTTTCTATAAGACCAAAGTTTGACGTACGCTTCCCCTTGTGATGAACACATTCTGTAATGAAAAGGAGGTGGTCAGTTTTCGGAAAATAGGGCTTTTGATGGAAAAGGGTTACTCACTTCTGTTCTCCATAGGTGACTTAACGCTTGGAGTTTGAATGCTCGTTCAAAGGTGGCCTGATATTCGGATTCACTCTGGGTAGATTTTTCGGCAAAAAGGCTACCGTCGAGATTGAGCCCATACAATCCCTCTTCGGAGCTGATAGCAGATGTTTTGACAGTCTCTGTGATATTGCTCATAGCTTGCTGGACGTCTTTTTGAACTCGAGACATCAACCATGCTATGTCAGACCACTGAGCATGATGATATAGGTCAGCATAAAACTTTATCAATCAAAGGGAAGAAGCCGCCGAAGACTGACCTGGGTGAATGCCGGCGATGAAGTTGGATATAGGAAGGTTGAGATGGGCCTAATAATTCCAGTGGTCTATAGGTCTTCGGTCAGTGAGTGTTTAAAAGAGTGGTATATAGGTGATCAACTGACGGCATAGAACACACTGAGCACAGCTCGATAATAGTACTTCCCCACCGGGCCAAACCACACACCGGGAAGAGCCAGAATCACCCAAAAGATGGCTGATACCGAGGTCGAAGCGTACTCCATGACATGTGTAGGCGCTCGCACAAAATCAAATGCCTGATGGGTAGTACATATCGGGTCAGCTAAGCTCACGGGCCAAGAGATTGGTAATCCTGCTTACCATTGATTGCGTGATCTCTATGAATAAAATAGAGGAACCATTTAATATGAGTAAATGATAGTGCCATCAGGGAAAACAAGGGCTAACCCATGGCAATGTTCGACGCAAAAGCGACAGCATTAAATGCTTGGTTCATTTGGGTGTTCCACCTTTGAGCCGCGATGAGTGCATACCAGTCTTTACCCTTCACTCCCTCACATAACTAGATTGTTTCAGTCGTCAGCACATTCAGTATAATACACGATTCTTTTGAAACTAGAGAAGATATGGCCATCACTCACTTGCGCGACTCTGCATATGGAACCGATTTTGATATTGAAATTGGTCGCCCCAACCGTGTTGGCGTATTCCTGCGAGTCACATGACACTGTCAGTCAAGCATAAATGTTGGTGGCGCCAGTTGTGTACTACTATTTACCTTGAGTGACAATGATGTTCCCTGAGAATAGTTCTGAATGTAGTTGTTCATCTCCAAGTCAAACCAAAGCTGAGTAGTAATTTTCCGTTTTGCACACTCATCGACATCTTTCAGCGTATCGTTGGTAGCATTGTTCGAGGGCAGGGAGACGTTGAAGACTTGATTTGTGAAGTTGGAGGCAAGACTATCGGGCGAGTTTTCGAGAGAGGCACCGCGAGGCAAGACGACTGCAGTTGAAACAAAGCTGATGTACAAAATATATAAGAAGGTGATCAACAAAAGATGTAGATCACCGAACAACCTGCTCTGCATGCTGGATCGGTCGACGACGGTTGATATTCAGATAAACCCCATGAATTGGCAATGCTACGGACGTTTATGAACACTCAGGTCAAAATAGATACATCGGCCTATTTGATGGAACCAACGAGATTACAGACTTGCCCCAAAAGGGCGAGCGTGGAGTATGGTGTCATTTTTTACATGACTGATGCTGGTGGTATCATCGGGAGGTTGCGTCCAGCAATCATTTGCACAAAAAGCAGCGATATGGCGTGATAAGAGCAGATATGTACGTGCGAGAAGTCTGAGAAAATGTCGCCAAGCTGCGCGCAGAAAGAGCCGCGGGAGCTAGGTATCATGGTGAGACTTGACTCCAGAAATCTTCTTCGGATATTTGCCGCACTTTAACATAAAAGAGATGTGCCTTCTCGAACGAATGACTTACTAGTCGGGAGTGTTTGAGCCTGTGTCCCGGATTCGTCCTGGTCAAGAAAAGTTAGCTTCACGGTTGTAATTGATTTTTAAAAATCATTGATGTTACAAAGTTATATGCAAGATTACTCAACATCGATAGACGATTAGCTTGATACGGATGATCATGTTTAGCAATCAGAGTTGATGCAAAGCTCATCGGTTGTATCTACGTAAAAGCAGATAAAAACTTGTTGAAGTGCCGCTGATAGGCTATTTGCAATCAATGGCCTCTTCTGCCTGCTATGTTTCGTGATGTAAGGCATGATATGGCCGACAGCTTGAACTCAAAGCCTAGAGGACAGTGGTACATATCTCTTTCTGACGCCCAGATTGCACAAATTACGTCCTCCTCTTCAAAAACAATTTGATCGGTCGGTACATCAACTGAGTCAACTCACAAGGTCTTATCAATGACTCGTTCCTCTGCTGATATGTATAAACTGTTCGGCACAGAAGCTAGTGTTGAAAGGGTTGTGAACTCACATGTCGCCATCTTTTAGAAATATGAGGCTGAAATGATTCGTGCTTCTTGGCTATTCTCTGCATGATATGAAGCTTGAATGACAGCTCGTATCAGTCAGAAGACCACATGTGACAAGTTCATCCGTCTTTCTCACCTCGTCACATCTCATGTAAATGATTCCTACACTCTTTCACGCCCATTTGTGCTGCTCTATGTGGTGCCGAAAGGCAAACCTGTGATAAGCTTCCCCGACAACTCCCGCATGTGAGGAAATGTGGTGATCCAAACACGAGCTCATTGCGCAATCGATGTGGGGTAGATCGCTATCAGTCAAGCGCACCTTGTCATTAAGAACTTCAAGTAGGTGAATGATTTACGTAGAAACTCGAAACTTTACTGACGAAACAGAATGATGACTGCTTTATTCGACTCGTAGCGCTTCTCATGTGATCTCGACCCTTGGTAGTAACAAAAAGGTGTTTCTTACATAATTCTGCATTAGCTCCACATGCACAAGTTCAGGTATGTAATGGCCTAACTCCTTGATAATGGAAACTTCATATTTCCCCACTGGAAGCAATACCGCAAGCGCAACGCAGCGCAACGAAATATGGCCCAATTTGATTGCGCTGCGCAGTCAGCACAATAAGGCGCTACACAACCAGACCGCAATGGGGGTCTGAATTTTTTACTCACGGATGCGGAGCGGGTATAGGGCAATATTTTCGCAATATTGCCGAAATGTTGCGCTCTGCGCAATATACGCAATATTGCGGAAACCATACGCATCATTGCACTTAACATTTGTAACAAAAAGAGAAAACAATAAAATGAAATCATATAATTTGTTTATACTATTACCTTGTATTGTATGTAGAGAATAAAAAGAAATAAACACCAATATACTATTTTTTCTTTTTCGATACACTAGAAATATAATCTTGGAGAGCTTTGGCTGCTTCTGCGAAGTCACCCTCTGGTATCATTCCTTCTTTCAGCCATGCTTGAGACCCCACTAACCGCTCCATCGTCTTGGGTAGCATTGCACCACGAGACGGTGTGCAAACATCCGCCGCCGCCGAAAACGTTCGCTCACAAGCGCAAGAAGTTGCCGATACAGCCAGGTAATCACGAGCGAGTTGTGACATGATGGGAAAGTGATGCTGATGTTCCTGTAAAGAGCCAACATTAGTATAGTGCGATATGAATCAGTGAGAAATGGAATGAAAAAACAAACCTTCCACCAACCCAGGATGGTTTGGTCCTTTTTCATAAGAAACTTTCCTTGCAAGTAGTCCTCGAGCTCGGATGAGGATGCTTTGGTAGTACCCAAAGTTGAAGGTCCAAAGATGTCGAATGTGTCAGGCTCTTGCTCGGTAGGACTCAGACCAGTACCAGTTTCGTTGTCAGTATTCGGGGATGGATCATTCTCTTGAGATTCTTCTGTTTGATTGTTGAAGGCATTCTCAATCGACAAGCTTGCCGAAACTTCATGTTTGGGATAATGGAGGGAAAAGAACTTCCCTCTCAATTGAGGGTTAAGAATCGTGGCTAAGACTATACTCTCACACTCGACAGCTTCCTGTTGATACTTGCTGAGCCACTTGATCATCTCACTGATTGATTTGTCAATGCTCGCATAATCCTGTGATTCGTGTTGAATGGCTTCGAGCTCGGAAATAACCCGCTTGTATTCAACTAGGACTGTAGCACCGGTAGGTCCATTCCCCTCAACCCGAGCAGTTGCATCTACGAACGTCTAGAAAGCAAAACAAAACTTTAGCTTCATGTGTAAGTCGGACTAGTTAAGATCAATACCTTCAAAACCTTATTAACCAATTCAACTGCGTGCCATTCTGCAGGAGAAATGGTAACTCCCTTGAAAAAACAGGCCTTCCGGTCGGCTGCGAGCATTGAGTTGATAACCTAAAAGGCAAGATGTGGTCAGCGCTTATGGTTTATAATGATGTGATTATATGAAATTAAATTTGTACATACCTCATGGGCCTCACACGCCACCTTTCGACTCTGGTAGTGGCTATTCCACCGAGTCTTGCAAGGACGCATCAACATTCTACCTTTGTATCCCATACGAGCCGATCGAGCTTTAAAATCACTTCGCCTTGCTGCACTACTTGCAATTTGACCGCTCACAGTATCCACCTAGCACAAGGAACAGTATAGGAAACAAAAGGTTAGCTTGTATTATGGTACACTGAGAAGAATAGAAAGATGAAAGAGGGAGATCATTATGAAATATGTTACCTTGACAAGTGCAAGTGCAACGATATCATCTTTTTCACAAACAACCGGTTCTAAAATACCATCGTCTTCATCATCGACACCGTCAGGCTTTTCCGGTAAGCCGTCGCCTTCGTCTTCATCGGTTTCTGAATCGTCCATATCAATACCATCCTCACCATTGTTCACCTCGAGAGTCGGAATGGGCAGTGGAATGCCATCTGGGATTGCCGGCTTTGAACTAGTAATCGTCTGACCAAGGATTCGAAGGCCATGCCCAACTGTGAGATTCAGTTTATGGGCATAGCATCGCACATGGTGTGCTGAACTGTCCCAACTAACAGGATTGTCCGCATTCATAAACATATCTTGAATTTCTTTGGCCATAGGACCATTATTCCCTCCACTGTCAGTTGTCTGACCTAACATGTAATGACAGAAATAAAAAGGAACAATTAGCAAAGATAAAAGTTAAAAAAATTGTAAACAGAAAAAAAAAACCTATCTTCTTATGAAGACCGTGGCGGACCAAAAATCCACCAATGGGTCGAGCTAAGAGAGCCCCAAAATGTCTCCAAGCTACCATCTTGAGAGTCAAGTGAGTTGACTTATAATTCCAATCGTCATCTATGTAATTGGCTGATGCACCTATGAAGGCGTATCGGTTCCCTTTGGTGGTCCAGACGTCGTGTATCAAAAAAAACTTTCCTTTGTTTGTCTGAAGATCAAGAATTATAAACACATATTGATCAATAGACAATTAGTTCAAGATACGAAAGTAGAGTAAAAAGCAAAAACTTACTTTTATGGTATCGATGGCCTTTTCGTGCAAACCTGAATAGAGTATTACTGACTGCTGAGCTGCCCACGTTCTAGATCGAACAAGAGCACCTCGGTTGATAGAGTGAAAAGCAGCTCGAAGAGCTGGGTCTTCAAATCGGGCCCAAGGAAGGGCGTGTCGGACGACCCACATGACTAAGATCATGTTGAGGAGGTTGACGGTGAAGGTGGGACCGCTGACAAAAGATGTTAAGGTACCTTTCTCGTTTTTTTTTGCTTACCTCTTGCTTTTCATGATAAGAAGGTGGAAGAGTCATTCCGTCACGGATGGCCTTATGTCGCATTTTACAAACAGGTCGTGTCGCACTACCGTCGCAATGGCCTTGTAAATTGAAATAAGAGGTCCCTGTCTTGTCACCTTTGAATGGCTTCTTGCAATATCGACATTTGTAAATACGATCCTAGAAGAAATTGATGATGTTAGTAAATCAGAGACCAAGATGATGTGAATTGAAACACTTACAATCGGCTCATGAAAATACTTGAGAAGGTGCTTCACATCGACACTCCGAGACTCGTTGTAGCCGGGTTCGTTGTTAGACGAGACAAATTCAATAGAAGACTCTTGATCAACGTCCACTCCATCTGGGATCTCGAATACCTGGTGACAGTAAAGGAAAGGGGTCATTAATCTCATAAAAAATAAATACATGAATTGGTTCGAGAATATTTTAAAAGATGTGAAACACATACTTCAACATCAGTCCGCTTCGATGATTGGGGTGACCCAACAGAAGAAGGTGCTGAAGCTCCAACATTACATCGCTTGGATGAACGGGGTGTCCTGCTGAGTCTGGATGAAGCAGGTGAAGGTGACCTGACACGCTTACTGGTGGATGATCAATTCTACAAATACAAAACCAATCGAGAATCTATCTCATGCATGATAGAGCAATCTGGACCTATTGATAAGACTTACCTTTCCTTCTGGATTGGCCTTGGTCTTCTTAGACTTCGCCGTGGGAAGAGTTGAATCCTTGTGTTTTACAGCTGGTGGTCGAGGTGAAGCAAG